GACAATCCCCCGAGGACTTCATTTCCCAGAATATCAATAAGCTGAGAGAAAAATACAAAGATCATATCAGCAGGCAAATCTCATATTCATGACTACAGTGCGCCAATGTTGAGGCAATATGTAAATGTGTTCAATTGTTACTTGTGGTTTAAGCTCATCTCCATAGAAACATGTTGTGGTTAATAATCCATTGGCAGATTTTTGTTTGGTTTACAAGCAACATATAATTTATTTACATCCTGTGGTGAGTCCCCATGCAGCTGTAATGTAAGATAATATAGGGCAAAAACTGTGAACCAGATAAATCAAAAGGGGGTTTGGTAACAAGCACAATATGGTAACTACAGGATTTATTCAATTGTTATTCTACATGCAGTGAAGGAAAGGAATGTATTTAGAATGTATTTAGTCACAGAATACTGAATACCCGCATTAAAATGAATTCACATTGCATATTTTTCAAGTTAGCAGCTACCGTTTATCTTTAATTCAGCATAGTTTGGCAATTTCAGGGCTGATATTATCCAAATGATTCTAGTGAAAATGAATGAAGATTAAAAACACACTGGAGCACTTCCTGTATTAACACATGACATCACAAGGTGGAACATAGTGTTTTTGGTGTGAGAGAAGAGCATAGTTTAAATATGCAGATGTGATTGAAGCAAAACGCATCTTCACATATGTTTTTTGACAAAGAAACATTATAACAGATGTTGTTGTTATAGCCCTTTAAGATGATCACTTACTGAAATGACTGAATTAAAATGAGATGCATTGCACAGCCTTGCGATATGGTATGGATAACTTTATGGATTGATGGCAGCACAGAGATATAAATCTTTCAGAGTTCCTTTGAAGACAAAAATCCATAGTTTCAAAAGAGTATCTGGACACCCTGCTGCGTAAGCTATTCTGGAAAAGACTGCCAGGCATCAATGTAAAAAGCACTTAAACTGAAACTAAATTACAAGTGCAGTGAGCCTCAAAAACTCTTACTTACTCAAAATATTTACCCTGTTTCATTGCACTTCACTATTCATAACATAAACAGTTTAATTTCCGCACCACTTATCCAATATCCATCCTAAACTCAGCATCTCTCTCCGAGTGTTTAAAGCTTCAAGGATGCCACCTGCAGTACAGCCCCTGCCATTTTGAGAAAGCTTTTTTATCTGAACCACACTGCTACAAAGACCCCAGTGCTGTGCCTCTCGGTAATATCTCTAAAGGATCCCAAGGCAGTGCTGGAGAACTGGCACCAACTTCAAAGATACCACACTGTGAACACTCCCGCTGCCCCCAACTGGTATCCTTGTGCAACTTTTAACTAAATAAATGTTGGGGAAATTGTAGACAGCTTTTCAGACTGGTATTTCAAGTATCCCTAGCCTGCTCTTTGCACAGAAAATGGAGTTATTTGATATCTCTTTATGTTATTAGTGGAATTGGATCTGTTTGACTGGGTTCATGTCTTAAGGCTAAAAGTATAGGACTACACCCCAGAGTTGTATCCCAACAACCGCACACTGAAGGGAGGTTATTAGATGTAACTGGAGCCGGAAAAAGCAGAAATCGCCAAGAGATCCTTAATGAAATTACTGCAGTAACATTAGGGGAAATGCAAAGAAATAGACAAAAGAAAATGCTGTTTCGAGCCTTTTTACAATATGTACCACTTTATAATAACTACTCCTTAATTAGCCTTAATAAAGCATGAACAAAGACTTAATTTAAGGCTTAAAAATTATTCCAGCTTAATAAATCTGACTTAATTCCCTAACTCCTATCCCTATCCCCTTATGTTTTCTGACGAGCTTGCCATCTGCTTATCTTCATCTTGATGTCCCACAGTATGGCATTAAACTCACCTATCTCTATAAAAATAAATATGTGAAACACCAGGCCAATTTACAGATCAGATCTGTGGAGAAGCGAGTCCTCTCACTGTACAAACGTATGATTTTCAAAGGCATTTCTGCGCACTAAAAACACTTGTAATTGAGATATGTTAATACTATACTGTGGAACATTCTGGGCAAAGCTATAACATCTCCATGAGACAAATAAGTGGCAAGCCCTCCACCAGAAAAGCTGCACATTGCATTTTTAATAATAATATTATTAATAATAATAATAATAATGCATCAATTTTATAACACGCTTTTTTGGACACTCAAAGACCCTTTACAGAGCATTATACATTCATTCCATACTCGATGCTGGTAAGCTGTTGTTGTAGCCACAGCTGCCCTGGGACAGACTGATGGAAGCAAGGCTGCCAATCAGCACCATCGGCCCCTCCAACCACCTTCAACACTCAAGCACACACAACTTTCATGCTAAGTTGCTACAAAGCCTGAATCATTCTTAAAAAACTACTCTTTCACTATGAATTAAGTGGCTTTGTTCATGTTTTACAAAGGCTACTAAAATTGTGGTTATTATAAAGTGATACCCTACAAATCAGTCACATACTACAGCCATACGCAAGGTGAGTGAAGAGGCTTTGCTTAAGGGCACAACAATTGTATGCATTGGTCATAACTGGAATCAAACACTCAACCTTTAGGAGGGTGATCCAGTGCTCTAACCACGAGCCACTGTCCCTAATTTCAACTTTTTTTTTTTTTTAATAAAATGATGGCTGAAAAAATAAAATTACTTGATAGGGAGGTGTAATGATATTTTTTTACTCAAATATGAAACGATGTGTTAATTAGTGATAACCCTACTACAGCACAGCCTATCATTTTAATAATATTGTTTATAAAATATATATTATTATGTTTTAAATATGCACTTTGTAAATTTTGTGCTGGAGAAAAGTAACTTGGCATGTTGGCGTCTCCATGGAGGAAGACCAGCTTAATGCCATACTCCAGAAAAACAGATAATTATTTCCATGGTGCAGACTCTACTCCAAAAAAGTTACATAGTGGACCTCTAACTTTAGGATTTGACAGTAGCAATACTTCTACTTGTACTTCTAATCATCAATATAGTGGAAGAATACGCCTTGATACTGCACTGCTCTAGAAACAGCAGCCAACCAGACAGTTTATTAGGCATTTCTGTATTGTATAGAATAGATTTTGAATGCACATAGTAACACAAATCTCTGGCGGCTTCATACCTGTGCTGTTTGACTTATTCTGTGCAGTCAGACTATTCCCACAGGCATTAAATGAATTTCAATAGACAATCCTGGAAGAAGCAGTCGGTTCTTTGTGGCAGGGAGGAAAAGGCAGTCAATCAGAAAAATACATCAATACCAGAGTCTCCAGCAGCGGTCTCCTATATAATGATGCATCAGGTGTCTCTACGGGCGACGGCTAAAGCTAATCAAAGGCTTCTGTGCGCCCTAATCACACTGAGAGGAGACAAGAGTGATTTGAGAGCTCCGCACAGCCTGCAGGAGTCTATGCCGGCTGGTGGAGAGGTGGTTTAAGGTAAGGATCATATAAAGAGGACGGGCCAAGACTAAGTGAGTGTCTTTGCAATCTTTTCAATTACATGTATTAGCAAAGCATAGTTTTTAAGTTAACAGCTGCCTTTTATCTTTAGTTCAGTAGAGATTGGCAATTCCAGGGCTGAAATTATCCAGATGATTCTAGTGAAGATGAATGGAGATTAAAAACACACTGGAGCACTTCCTGTATTACCACATGACATCACAAAGTGGAACATAGTGTTTTCTGTGTGAGAGAAGAGCACAGCTTAAATATGCAGGAGTGAATTAAGCAAAACACATCTTCAGGTGTGTTTTTTGATGAGGAAACAACATTATAACAGATCTGAAAACAGTGTAATATGGGCCCTTTAAGATGATCACTGACTGAAAAGACTGAATTAATATTAGATGTATTTTACAGCCTTACTATATGGTATGGATAACTTTATGGATTGATGACAGTACAGAGAAATAAATCTTTCAGAGTTCCTTGGAAGACAAAAATCTATAGTTTCAATTACAGGTTTTATTGCAAAAAAATCATTTGAAAAAGTGTTGATTTGACCTCTAACTTGCTGTCTTCATGGAGTTTAAGTTTATTGTTACACTGTGGGACATTCCAGGCAAAGCAATAACATCTCCATGAAGACAAACTTTTATTTAATACTAATATGTGAAATGATTAAATGTGACTTTTAGCGAATTCCAATACTGATACTTGGGAATATATTGGTAGTACTGAAAACCACTTACAACACTAAAGCTAGAAATGGCACAATAAAAAAATGGACTTAAAAAAAAAATAAAAAAATGATGTGTTGTAGACTGCACATGGACGTAGCTAAATGGCTTGCTGCCGTGTTCCGAATAGGAAATGAGCACGGGCATGCTTCTGCTTCTTTTGACTCCAGTTCCAACTCCGTTTGTATTGAAAAATCTCTCCTTAACTGCTGCTGTCAGGCTCCTCATTTTGGTCTTAAAATGTTTGTATTAACTTGCTCTATGTGATCCTAGTTTTTCACTATTTTGTCAAAACAATTCCTATTCCTAATAACTGTCAGCTTCTGTGAGCTTCATTTGACTGGGGAACGCTCCATGGAGATGTTATGGCTTTGCTTGAAATGTTCCACAGTATGGCTTTAAACGTATATATCTGCATGAAAAGATGAAGGTGGTGGATCAACAGAAAAATAAACATAGTGCACTTTTATATATTTGAACCTCTTTAGCTCACGTGTTAATGCGCAACCAAAAAAAACACAAAAAGGTTCTCCACAGATGCAAACAGGTACAGATGAAAATTATTATTCATGTATTTGTTTAGATATTTATTGAGTGATAGTGAGTATAGAAATTAGTGACAGGCTTAGAGACTAAAGTAAAATGAACTAGACGTAGTATCTCACAGACAAAACACTCTAAAAAAAAAAAATTTTAAAACCTGTGTATTTGTATAACTACAGTATGCTTAATTGAAGTATTACATTGGTGAACTTTGCAAAATCAGTTCTCCTAAACTATGCCATTTTCTAAGGACTGTCCAGTATTGAATTTGATCAGCTATGCATTTCTGTCAGTGGACCAAAAACAATAAAATTAAATGTAGTAGTTATGACAGACCAGAGGAGTCCGTAAGGTGTAACACAATAACAGCAGCAAAATCCCTGACGCTCCTCCTGGAAATCCCTGTGATGTTGCTAAGCTCTCCTACCACCTGAAATACAAATATATAACTTCACTTAATGAACAAAAAATGTGAAATATCTGTTTTAATTTTAATTTAAATAGTTCACACCTCCTCCCATTGGCCGATACGAAATATGTACAAAGCGGCAGCAATGACAGCAGCACCGAGTAGCATGAAGTCCTCAGTCACAGACACAAACTTCTCTCTATTTAAAAGGAGTTTGGTTACATTGGCGAACAATTCTAGTTTGTACAATTACTACAACATAATATTTGCTATCTTGGATTGGGCTTTTGTATCTAATGCTTATAGACTTGCTTTAATAATCAGGGGTTGTTGTATGTCATTTAAACTTGCATATATATTGATATAAGATACGAGAGAGATACTTTATTGACAGACCATGCTGCTCTTGTATTAATACCTACTAAAAAATACAAAAAAAGAAAATTGCAAAGTGATGCCACAGTCAAATGAGAATATAATGTGACCAAATGTTCATCTACTAAAGCTGTGAAAAGAATACAAGTGCATATTAGCTACTTCGCCCTAGGGATATTGATTTAACGACATGACTTTGACAAAGGCTTATTGCAAATATTCTAGTTTTGTTTCTGATCATCAATAACATGGGGGAAGACGTATTGATTACATATTGATTACCTCTGCTCTGCTGTGGGCTGTTGGCTTCTGGTGGTCGCTGTTAACAGAGATTCATAGATGGTCACTCTCTCCAAGACGACAAACTGGAGCACCTGCTTGCACAGATCATACACGAGCTCTATGGGGACGGACGGCTCATTGTGACCTGAAAATAATAAAAAGAATAAATAAAAAATACTATAATAATAACTCGAATCACGGTTATAATATTTCAAATTGTTAATCAGCGAGGAGCTTTGAGATGTGACTTCAGACTTCAGAGAAAATCATTTATTAAAGATGAACTATAGTATGTGTGGTGGGGGGTCTACTACCTCCTTGTGTCCCTCCATATGTTGTTGCTTTGCTGAGAATCTTCCACAGTATGGCATTAACTTACCTGACCTGTAACTTTGCCTATTGACGTCTGATGCTATACTGTGGAACATTACATAGTGCAGTTTAAGCTGATACGTTTTACCATTCCTACTGCTTATGCTTATAGAATTTGTACCAAGGACTTCCAGAAGTATTTCAACATAGATCAGAGGGTTAGCAACATCCAGTTTAAAGTCGAGTCCCTTTAGCACCATCAGCTCTGAGTCCAGGAGTGATTTCTTTGTAACTGTGAGGCCCACTGACCGGAGGAAGCGCTCAGCAGTGTTGTTGTCAATAATCTAAAAACAACACATCAAGAAATTATTGAAATAAAACTGACAAATGTAAAGTGATAAAACCACAAACAAGCCTGATTTACATTCACGTGCAAAGACATTTTGCTTGCAATTTGTACACAGGAGAAAATAATGAGAGGGAACTTGTCTTTGACCATGTCCAAAAACAGCGTCTTCATAACTTATGGGCTGAACGGCAGAAGCTCCTTGAGGTGAGGGCGTGGTGAGCAGATGGGTGATGTGTTTGGTCATGAAACTGGAGAACATAAACAGAGTTAAACTAATTCTAAGTTTTAAATAAAGTTGAGTTACTGGTTTTAATTGCACATACTGTACCTTTGAAGTAATTCATTGGCATGGTATCCAACTTTTGGGTCAAGACTCAGTGCATTGGTCATAAGTAAAATGTTTTCTGGAGTAGAAAGTAAAAAACTATAATAAAAAAAAAAAAATATATATATATATATATATATATATATATATATATATATATATATATATATATATATATATATATAAAAGGTGACCCGCTCACTGGTATTTTTGAGTCATAAAAACATATATAACGTTGATTAAATAAATGCTAGATACTGTGGAATATTTTCAAGTTAAAGCAATAACAGCTCCATCAGAAACGTTACATGATGCAGCTTTAATTACAACACTGTAGTTAGCTTACAGTTTATGGAAGTTAGCTAGCAAACACGTTTTATTTATATGTAAATAACTAACAAATAACATTACTCTTGACCTATGTTTGGCAATTAAAACTATAAAATAGAGAGACTTACCCAAGACATTCTTATCCCTGAAGTTCCCGCAGCATTTTGATAAACTGCTGAGTTTATCTTTATTTTCCTTGTTGAGGTTCACAAGGAAATCTGTCAGGAGATCAAACGAGGCTTGTCGAAACTTACAAACATTGAGATTGTTGGACTGTTGAAAATTGTAGCGGATTCTTTTTGCCATTTATAAACGATCTAAAGTGTTAAAATGTTGTTCAATTAGCTACTTAAATGAAAATGTAATAAAATAAACTGTTTATGCCAAAAGATGTCGCTGTTCTCTCGTTGTTGGTCCACCGTGTCAGGCGGAACCAAAGACACAACTACATGTACCCGCGGGGACGTTTTTGACGTTGCACCAACGTGGAGCTGCGCTCATCTGAAGGTGGTGGATGTTTGAGTATAAAGAATATTTTAACTGAATCGGTTCACTATTAGTGACCTGCAGTGAGTTTAACAGGTCGTTTGTAAAATATACTTTTGGAAGTACCAGAAATACAACAACATTCCGTGTTTGAGAGCGCGGACATGGCTGAGAAGAAGCCGAGTTCATCTGAGGCTCCGTTCGCCAAGAGGATAGACCCCGCTAAAGAGGGCATCTCTAAAGAACAATTACACTTTATCAGACAGGTGGAGCTGGAGCAGTGGAAGAAGAAAACTCAGAAACTGAGGACACGAAATGTTGTAACGGGACTCGCCATTGGAGCTGTGGTTGTGGGCATTTGTATCCTTATCCAAACATGTCAGTGACGCCAAGGTTATGTATGTAACACCAGCATGGCCGGGTACACAACATCATATCTAGATCAAGCGCCGTGCTGTAAATGCTCTTCTCTTCGTTTAGGGAGTAAATTCTCGAGCAGATATGATTAGCTCTTTGAGTTACTACGTTTAATATATTATTTTAATTGTGTTTGGTGAGTTTGGGGATGCATATGAATACATTACAATATGACAGACTCAAATCTATTTTCATTTTCAGTTCAGCAAATAATATAGATTAAACAAATACATTTAGGTCCTTTCTTTATTTGAGGAATCCACATGCTAACGCCAAGTTGTCAGTCCTGTTGTGGGAGTCGACGCCCCGGTTGAATAGCCTGAAATGACCCCTCACCCTCCCACGTCTTAACTTCCTTACAATAAGATGCAAGTAATACCAGCAAGATGTGTATTTATTTAATAATTTAGTTAGCATTTATTCAAGTTTGTCATACTTTTACATGTCTGAGCAATCTGATTATTTATTAAATTCAGACTGATTTGCTGGCTATTTGTCAAATATTAGTTAAATAATAAATAATTGTAGTGATCAGGTTAGGGAATTTATCGTTTCAAATTCTGTATTTCTGTAATTCTTACATTACACCTTGTTATTACTGCTGGTATTACTATTTCATTCTTGTGTGTTTTCATTCCTCCCATTGAATTGACCTTAACCAGATCACCCTGTAGATGGATACACATTTTGGTCAGTCTCTCAGGAGAGGATCATGGACGAAATCGATGAGGAGGCGAAAAGAGCGAGGTCCCAGATGCCAAAGACTGGTGCCAACTGAAACACACCTGTGGCCTGCTGTTGGACTGTGGATGGCCCTAAAATGTTACAGCACTTAAAGGACTTATGTGCTGCTCTGTGTATAAGCACTGGACTTGAGTCTTTTGATTCTAATGCTGACTTAAAATCTAATTTAATTATGGTTGCTTTGGCAAATTTCAGTTTGACAAATAACTTAACAATGCTTCTACAATAATCTAATATGAATCAAGGATATAATACATGCATCAGTCAGCTAAAGTTGTTTATGTGTGAGGCCTTTTAACACCAGTGGATGCCGGTGACACTTTTGTAACAGCATTGAAGTGCTTATTTATTTTCATACCATTGGGTTTGTTAAGTACTTATAAATGATGTGCAGAAAACCTATCTTGTACAGGAGGACAGTAAAAGTAAACCACTGCAAATGCATGTATTTACAGATTCATTTATTTTGCATTTTAAAATTTGACAATATTCTGATCTGAAATCAATCTAGAGTAAAAATATAAAATAAGACATTATGAGGGAAAGGCACAAATTCAGCATGGCAGGACAGCAGCTTCAGAAAGCAGGACATTCATATATTTACATTCATTTAACAGTTGTACAGTAATCACTTTCATTGAATATATTATAGTCTTTGGATATTTTGCAGACCCTCCACTGAAACATTCAGTGTTTTTGTTTTTATAAGGCAATGACAGTTAAACATTCACAAGTGGAACTGTCATTTTGATCCAGCAGAGAATATTATAATAAAATATATTGGGGAGTGTCAGTTGTATCTTTGCGGTAAAAGAATCATATGTCCTCATAAAGGAAAATCCTTTGAACTTTTAATGACGTACAATCCACTAAAGTGCACTATGTGCTTTATCTATTAAAAAGGTTCTGCAAAAATAAGTTTTTGAAAAATCGGGTTTACTCTTACACTGTAAACATGAATGCACTCATTTATATACAACTATACAAGTAACAGGAACCCAGTAGTCTAAAATCTAAGCAGAATATTTACAAAAAGTCCTGGTTCAAACAGCCATATTTCTCAAACATTGCGTAACATTCACTAAAGCGGCTCACTTTCTGCTTATAGGACCTAACCGCCAACAACAAGGCCTGAAAATAAATGTTTAGTTCCATGCACAAAAAAATACCACATTTTACTGTAACCGATCAAAATCTGTCTCCACAGATGCAGAGAGCTCAGTGTGTCAATATGAGAGTTCACATAAAATTGTTCAGATATATTACACTTATATACATCATACAGCACAACTTCATCCCACACGTGAAGATCTCCATATGTTCAGTATAGTTGCTTTGAAAGTCATCAGTTATCCTATGATATTTGTCATAGATTCTAATAGCAGTGTTGCGGCTGAGGGTGCACAATCTATCTAATCTGTGTAAAATTCAGTACCAGTGTATTGAGAAAAACAGCAAGTAGCACTTTGTACCTGAACTTCACTGCGTTTGGGTAAATCTATTAGTATACAGCAATTTGTGCAACCGTATGAAGTTGATTCGAACCATAAAACCTGTTGTAGCTAGTTTACAGTTTAACCATGACACAAAATTATTATTAATTTTGAGCGCTGGTTTTCCGCTGGTTTGAGCTTGAAGTAATTGATGATTGGTGATGACTGGAAACACTGGCTGAAGAAAGAAGGGAACGCTGCAGTGACAGTTCATTTGAGGTAGCTAAAACAACCAGCTTGTGTGGTTGGATTTCTTACTGTAAAACAAAAAAGAAAACAAATCTTACTATTTGGATCATATAAACATAAAACATTGTCTTATGTCAAAAATCTGCATTCTAATACAGTACTCTTTAGTCAAAACATTGAAAGTATTTTTGGTAAGGTAGTAGTTGTTTAAAAGTGGTTGCAGCTGTAAGTAGTAACCTTGATACTTTTACCTTTACTTGAGCATAAATATAACAAAATACTAAATGAAATTAAATGAATATTAATTGCCTATCTTCAAAAACAGTATCTTAACTTGTCCTCTAGGTGTCTCCCAGCCTATGTTATTTTTGTACTCACCATTCTGTTGATCTCTGCGGCGAAAGTGACCCCTTTGCTGGGTTTATCCTGTGAACCACTGCTGCTGCCGCCCAAAGAGTTCCTCCTTATGATACCTGAGCAACAAATCAGAGCACTTGTTATGAAACTAAGACAAATTCAACTGTCATAAAAATTTGGGCTGCATGATTATTCACAATCAAATAGAAACTAGCAAATTGCAAAGAAAGCAATTTTTGAAGTACAATAATTTCCTCTACAAACAACAAAATATCCAGTTTTATTCTGCATAAAAACTGCTAACCCTGTATGTGTGTGAAACGCCTCAGTCGTCCAGGTAGAATCCACGGCAAAGGAGAAATTCAATTTGTCGACTGGTCAAAAGTTTATTTTGAAAATGTCTTGCAGCTCATCCAAGCTGCTTCTTCAGTTCAGGTCAGACGCTGGTGGACACATCGTTATATCTGCCTGCAGGGAGGAGCTAATTACCTCAAGCTACTCTGAAACTAACACACCTACTTGTTTACAGTTTCTGTTTGTTAGTTAGACCTATTGAACTGCACTGAGTGTGAACCCCACAGTCCACTCTCAGTGCAGTTAGCCCCTCCCTCCAGGCAGATATAAGGCAGTGTCAACCAGCGTCTGACCAGAACTGAAGAAGCAACTTCGATGAGCTGCGAAAGTTAAACGTCCCTTTGTCATGCTAACCCTGTAGTTTACATTTGTACAAACATGTTCTGAAATGTGATTCTTGTATAAGTTTGTCAGTTTATATTCCAGTCTTTTCATCTAAATTCATCTAAATGCATTAAAAAGGAAACTTTAAACAGAAACTTATTACTAAAACCAGGCCTGTCGACAGATATTTGGGGGCCCAGGGCAAGAAGACTCACATGCTCCCCCCAATACTAATTAATAGGCAGAGGTTCCAATTCTGGGCCCCTAAAACCCTGCTGCCCAGGACAACAGACCCCCTTGTCCCCCTCATCAACTTCCCTGATTAAAACATAGGCTGCAAATCTAATCACCATGGAAATGCTTGTCAGATAAATTGCAATTCAATTCGTTCCCCAAATCATTCAGCCCTAATAAAAAAAAAAAAAAAGTTGTATTTCCCCTTACTTACCTTGAAGGGGCAGCACCTCCAGTCTCTGCAGGCTGTTTCTTCTGGAGGAGGGGTAACCGTTGCCTTTGGACAGTCTGCGCTGACGGTTGGAGAACATGGCCGCTGGGGACACGATGCCCGGAGGAGGGACTTTACCCATTTTCTCATACAACTCCTCGATCTCTCTCTTCTGAGCGGCTTGGAGGGCCTGCACCTCAATTAGATGCCTGGTTGATAACAATGCAGAAAAATATAAAAGTTATATTGCAAAATAATTCATGAAACACCAGGTGAGTTAAGAGGTACACAAGCAATAAAAATACTATGTAGTGGTACTATGATGACATCATTTAAGATGAAATGAATGAAAATAGTTTTAAAAAGTCTAATATTGTTACTACACAAACACATTCAGTGTTCAAATCTCTTTTCAACTGAACTGAAAGTCTATAAAAGTTCCTATAACTAGCTGTATAAAAAATAATAATAACAACGTGGGTACTGGGTGTAGTTGGAGTATTTTGTGGTAATCATATTAGAAATACTGGAAGTACCAGCATGTATATTAACACAATTAAAGAGACAGTCCAGAATTTTGGACATAGGATGTCATTTCCTCGTGAGCCAGAGTGTTGGAGACGTGTGGAGACACTTTTTAAATGTTCCATCCAGTCCTTGTATTTGCAGAGGTCGCTGGTGCTAGGCTAGTGCATGTCAATGGCCATAGTTATCCTGACACTAAAAACAGTCTTACCCACTCCACAAAACACCCGAAACAAATCTATTATTACACCAGACTGTCCATGTAAATGTCTGTGTTGATAGAATAATGTCTGAAATAAAACTAACCTTGCATTTGAAGGATTTATGTCTGAGCAGCAGCAGTGAGTTGTACTTCCTGACAGAAAGCTTGGCAGCGACTGATATATGAGAAAATACTCCTTCAACATTTGACGATTCATGTGATATTTTAAAAAAGTGTCTCCACACGTCTCCAACACTCTGGGTCACTAGGAAATGAGGTTCAATGTCCAAAATTCCAGACTGTCCCTTTAATATGAATACCTTTACTTTATCTACAATCTCTGCTTTTTTATACTGAAAGAAAATGTTTGTGAACCTATAAAGATAAAGCTGATTTTATTTTTTGCAATAACATTTCCATGAGCAGGTGGTGAATTTTCCACTAGAACTATTACGCAGTCCATCTTTAAAAATCCTCAAAATGGCCTCCAACATTACATTTACACTCACTTCTCTCTGAGCTCCTGCAGCTCCTCCAGCATCTCCTCGTCTTCACTGTCTGAATCGTCACTGCTCATGTAGGCTGTGTTGCGATTATACGTCATCATCCACAAATGGTGCAGAGCGTTACTGTACTGAGGGCTCCCCGACGCCCCATCCCACATCCGCCCCTCCATTTCAGCCACAGTCACCGAGAGCCCGCTGTCCGCCGACGTCCCCATGAGACTCAAACTATTCGCTCTCCTCCTGTTTCGTTTCCTAACCCTTTGCCTATCCTCTACTTCACACTCTTCATCTTCTTCCTCATCCTCTGCTTGTTGGTCCTGGCTTATGGACCACGCATTCTGGACTTCTTGCGTCGTCCCAGATCTTTGTTGTAGGGTTTGAGGGGGGGACAGTGTAAGGGACGTGGCAAGACTTGTCTCGGATTCGGCCTGGTCCGTGCTGGTCTCTGATGTGGTGTTATGGGCGCCCTCTGGAGGTGGGGTAGCAGTAGAAGCGGCAGGACTGTTGGGGAGGATGGGGGGTGACTGGGGTTCAGGGAGGTCGATGCTGGGGCTCACTTGGAAGCGGCCGATGGTCTGGGGAGAGTTTGGGACTAGAAGAGAAAATGCAAAAAAATTGTTGGTTTTAGGTCAAAAACATCTAGAAAAACAGATATTCTGACTGTGACCGGGGTTGCCTCTCCACAGATCTGACCTGTAACTTGATCTGTAACTCTAGTTTGGTCTCCATGAAGGTAGAAAGGTTTAATATCATATAGTGAAGTATTCCAGACAAAGCAATAACAATGCCATGGAGGAAAGCATTTTGTAACTTTTCTCCACCAGTGCACTGTTAATAACATTTTCAAACGCAATGTATGCATAGGGTGAACGTGGTGGGTAAAAGGAGGATGAGTTGAACAGTTTTATTACGTAAGGCCCAAAAACAGAACCACCTGGTACAACAGATCTTTCCTTTTTGGTCCATGTTTATTGTACACTGTCCCTGTATAACCTGACCTTGTGCCTTGTCTTACTTATGTCCCAGATATTCAATAATGCCACATGAACATTATACATTTTCATTTTCATTCATATTAGAAAGTGAGATTTACATTTAAAAAAACATGATCACTTTTGTGCATTGCAATTGATAAAACAAAAAATGATATGGTGTTATATGTTATTATCTGTTAGCCTAATTTTCCAAAGTCCATCCCTCCAAGTCCAAGCACATTCAACAACATTTTCTAAATTTTGAGGTGGTCTGCTTATGATTGGATTTATGCACTTGCAACCAAATAAACTACAATGTTTCAGTAGTTATTTTATAAACATCCCGCATCTGGGCATTTGTGTTTATTTGGAAATATCTGTAGTTATGAAACAGCTACAGTTATGAATTTAAGTCATTTGAGGTGGGCAGAGTAACATTGCACATTGCACAGTAGTAGCTTTTTTATTTTTTATTTCACTTACTTTTTAATGCACAATTTAAAGTATTAAACACTATTAAAAGTTCTCTCAATGGCCTAACAAAAAGAGAAGAGCCAAAGTACTGAAATTATGAACACATTTACACTCGTCTGTGTGCGCCTGAAGCTCTTAACTAAATTGAAAATGCAGTTGCCTGTGTGTCCACTAGGTGTCCCTCACTCCTCTCCCTGTATCATAAATGTTGGAGTCTGCTGCTTTGGCCCCTGGAACAGAAGGCCTCTGTCTAATGCAGTTTTTAAAAGGGGAGAAATAAATACTGTCAGGTGTGGGTCCAGGAGGAGAGGCTGGTAATTAGCCTGGCTGCGCTCGGATTGGCCGGATCGGGTGGGAAGTGCCTCAATCACACCTTCATTTGTTTTCATTTTGAATGGAACATTACATTTGTGAAGTCACAGTTACGCAATGCCACACAAAGGTTTCATCAAACACGGCTGCAAATGTCCTCAAACTAAATCGACTGCAACAAAGATGGTCTGTTTTGACCTAATACATAAAGCATGGCAATAACAAACATACAAGCCAAATAAATACTGGAGGGTTCGGGATACTAATGTATTCAGATTCAATCACGAAACAGATAAACTTATGTTAATGTCCAGTGTCCAGGGAAGCATACTTTGCAAATATATTTATTTATAGAATACTGAATACCTGCAATAAAATGTATTTTCTAACATTTTCCAAAACATGGTCCAATCAGAGTACTGTATTCTAAATATTTTTTCATCAAGCTGCACTTCAATTTTAGAGTAAAAACGCAACATAGGATCAAAAACAGCTTTGACCTTGTTTCACAGTTTTTTCTGCATTTGCTAAAACTAATTAGTAGGGATGTAACGATATCCAAATCTCTCGGTACAATATTATCACAACATGCATCTCGCGGTGCGATATTTACTGCAATATTTTGAAGAGGCTGATATAATTGTAGACAGGACACGTTTCTGTTTTTAAAATACACTGACAAGATTTTGGTATGAATTATTTCCATCATAATCACAAGAATTCAAGTAAAAAACATATTTCTTCATGTTGTTTGCACTGAAATGAATCATGGGATATGTAGTTCCTGATGTTTATAAGCTGTTACTACTATAAAACCATGCATTTAAGCAAAGGAACTTGTAATTCGATATATTGTGGCAGTCCACGATATTATTGCGAGACTTTTGATGATACGATATCACAGTATTTCAGTTATTGTTACATCTCTACTAATTAGAGAAGGAAAAATCATACATGCACATGCTATAAGAGGTAGGTTTTATATTTTTGTCACAATGGGCCTGCTCACAGTAATAATGCATGTTTTTGTGGTAGTTTTGAGGAATAAATAAAAGATATACGTTTCAATACCATGCTGTGGAAAACTTGAGCTAAAGCAATAACATCACCATGGAGACAAGCAAATGGCGGACCCTCCACACATTACGTTAATCAAAGGCACCATTATCAGAAAGAAATCACATCACGTAATTAGATTTTGGTGTGTATATGTTGTATTTAAACTAAGAATCTGTTCATAATCAGATTGAGAGTGCATATGTAACTGCAGCCATGGTGACAAAGTAATTTCCCTTGGGATCAATAAAGTTTCTCTCACTTAAGTCAGTTTAATTTATGCTTTTCCTCCATAATCTTGACTTTTTCCCATAATGTAAGTCCCATTTCCTTTACATTTAACACTGTCTAGACACATATTTTCTTACATAACTTTACAGCTTTAAGTCTGAAGTGTATATTTTATTACAATTTATACAGCAAAACATTACTGCTGTCGTAACGTACCTTATTAAATCCCTTAATCATATAAACCAAGGTGAGACGATGTTGTAATATTTACTATTGGCAGCAGTTGCATATACACAGACAGGTATGCGAGGGCTGTTTGATGCATAACAGAAGCACTTTTTTCTAGCACCTCGAGCTCGGAGCCAGCTACATATATGGGAGAAAGTGTTCATGATGTAAAGATGGAGGAGAACCAGAGCTATAAATGAACTATAGAAAGACTTACCCGAGCTGGACGGAGAGGGAGTTGGTTTTGGACTACTGCAGACCATTTCACTCACAGTGGGGGTTATTGGAGAGCTCAGGGATGATAACTAGAAAGCAAAAAGAAAATATTTAAAGGGTTACAAAGTTATAAGGAAATGCTCTGGGTAAAAGTAGTAGGAGTAGTAGTAGAGTCACCATTTTCTCAGTAAATGTATTTGTAAATTTGCTATAGATAAGAGATTTTCACTAGTTTTTGTTGTAATAAACTAATGCAAAGAAGTCAGTTTAAATTTTTTGTAATAAATTTTTTTGTATTTGTGTAATAATGTAATAATAATCTAATGGCGGTTATTCTAAATAAAGTTCTACTCTATTGTATATGAAAAAATCACATATCTTGTCATTTTTTGTTTTGTGTTTGTGTGTTTGGAGTGTACAGAGAGGGGTGGAGTGTGGAGAGGCGGGGTTTGTTTTTTGTCTTTTTTTTGTTTGTTTCTTTTGATCTGTAAAAAACAAAATAGAAAAAAATAAAATAAAAGAATGCAGTCTTTTAGTTCAGGTCTCTTATTTGGAATTTTGTAAAAACAGTACATTCCGTCATAAAAAATAAAGCAGTTTTCACACCACGTTAAACATTTACTCAGTGGTGTATTTTAATTTGTGTTATGAGTAACAACCTAAAATAGATTTCTGTGAATGAATCGCACTTGCTTACATATTTAAACATCATTACGGTGTCAATTTAAAAGTCCATCAGTCCAAACAGCAATCAGTGACTGTGTTTGCAATGAGGATAAAAATAAAATAACTTGACTAATTAGTACTGATTATTGTTGATTCAAATATGTTCCTACCAGATTCACTAATGACTTTTCGTGCTAATGAGCCTGGCAAACATATTTGTACTGAGAGAAAATGACTTACGGTGTTTTGGGGGCTTTCGCTTGGTGAAGAGGAAAGATCGGATGAAGAGGTTGAACTCATGATATCAGTTTTAGCAGCAGTGAAATTGTGATTATTGTCAACTTGGGTGCCATTTGAAGAAACTTGTACGTCAGTTTGTTGTGGTTGCTCGTGTCTGGGCATTGGGGGCGTAGAAGGGAAGGACGGAGGCGAGAAAGGCTGTTGCCATGGTATTTGTTGGGTGTTCTCTGTGTTATGGTAGGTTGGTGGGATGTTTGCGTTAGTATAGGGTACTTCCATCCCGCTGGGGGGGTACTGGGGTTGGTACTGGGGCGGGTATCCGGTTTGGGGTTGCATATGAGGGGGAAGGTGCGGATGGTAACCTGGATACGAATGCAAGCCTTGCGCAGTTATGCTCGCAGGCGGTATAAAAGACTGCGCCATGCTCATCGCCATCGAAATCACATTAGCCAGAGAAAATAACGGCTGAGTATGCGGGGGCCATATTGTTTGTGGACTTGGGTGGTTCAAGTTGAGATTCTCGGCGCTACCAGAGGTCGGACTGGTCTCCATTTGCATGATGGGAGATCCCGGAGAAGGTGAAGGGACTGATGGGAAGTTGGGGTTGCTGGCGACGCGTGTGAGGGGGGCGTGGGGGGGTCCCGCAGAGGGTTTGGGGGAGGAGGAGCCGGGGGAGCCGGGGTAAGGGAAGGGGAAGTGAGTGTGGCCCATGTAGGGGAGGTGGTAGTGCTGTTGGTGATGGGGGTATAAAGACGAGGGGTGATGAGGGTGGGCGTAATGGTGCAGAGGAGATCCTGGAAGACAGAAAACAAAATGTATAATGTAAATTGATTCTAAGGAAAAGGCCACATTTTCAACACAGCATAACAGTAGATTCTTTTTTTTTAAAATATTAACATGTGTTTTTATCATATCGCTTTCAGATAAACTAGTTTAGTTTAGAAAATTACCTACATAACTGGCAAAAGCAGCGCTATTGAAACCCATAAAAATAAGTAGTTGTACCAGTTATGTTTGTAGTAGTAGTACTTTATTTTAAATTGTTAACCAATACAGCAATGGTCCTACTTTCTCATCATTTTGAATCCAATCAATACTACTGCAGATATTGGTCCGGAACATTCTAAAACTATTCATGACAGGTCAAAATTTTACCTATTTCTATCGTTTATTTCAGTATTGTTCGGTATATTATGTTAAATGTTCAGATTTGAGTATGAATTAGTATTTGGGTATACATTTTTGACAACTGCCAGTGAAACTCATTCCACAGTTTGAAAAGAAAATGTGTACAATGGAGTTTACTAGAGGCCTATATATCATATTTATATACTGCATAATAAGTCAAACAACATTAGTGATCTTTAAAATCAATATAAAATCAATGGTATCTATGTCCTCACATCCAAATCTAACCCAAATCAAAATTCAAATTCAGAGTGGCAGGTTGTAGATTTTTTATGCTAAACACAATAGCACAGATTTTATTATTTATTACGCAATCATATAAAGGACGTCATAATCACAATTGTGGGTAAGTCTAATGTAAAGTTAATTCCATCCAAAGTGGAATACTGGACGGATCTGACCCAAAAAGACTGTTTTATTTGTTCATTCAGTTCAGTGGGTTTAGTGACTCCAGTCCTTCCTGTACCCCCTGCCAAGACTCCTGTTTCATCAAGCAAATAAGTCTTTCCTCTCCCTCTTCCCGGAGTAAATAATGGTTTCCATGGTGAACAAAGACATTCTGTTTGAGGCAGTTTCCAGCGTTAATCAACTTCATAAGCCAAAGTGGTCCATCCTGGGGCTCCAGTGGCTCCGAGGGAATCAGTGTGAATAGGGAGAGTGTGGCTTTTGCATATTGAAGGGGTTTTAATGGGACACATGTGCACATCTCCCTGTAAGTAATGTTTCCAGACGTAGACAGACAGTGGAAATGCATCGGGAACCACTAACCACTAAGGGGGCTCCTCAAATTGGAAAGGGTGAAACACACAATAAATGATCGTATTGAAACTAAAGGTGTTTTAAAGGTACACCAAGTAACTTTCCTGATGGAGGTTGCATCACCAGCTTGTATCCATGGAGATGTTATGGGTTTGTTTGAAATATTCCAAAAAGCAGGTTATATTACCATGCCAAGTTAGTGTTGTATGACCTAATTCAACCAAATTCGACTGTTTAAAATATTGTTTAATATTTATTCTTGAAATCATCTCACAACCCCCAAGTCACTGCCTCCAGCCCCAGCTTTGAGAACCACTGATCTAAAGGATACCGATTTTCTTTACTGATAAACAAGGCTCCCCCACAGCACTAGACACATCTCCCACTGTTTAAGATTCTAGATTAAAGTAATTAGATTAATTAAAGTGGTTAGGAAATAGGCATTACTCCTCTGGGATTAAATGTAGACGTCCTAGCAACTAATCTGACATTAACTTCAACAATGACGGCACAGTTTAAAACCACACCCCCTCCTGTTCCTGATGATGCAGATGTGCCCATGCTGTTTCCACTATGAGGGGAGAGTCATTTGAACCAGACTCGGTACAGAGGCAGGTGGCCAGGATGTATTACGAAAACCACAGGCGCGAGCCATGCATGAGTCAGGATCTGAAGTAGCATTAAAGTGGATATAATCACTTTTATGAGCAATATTAAAGAGCTCATATTATGAAATTTTTTGATTTATGTTACACGTTGTTTCCTTGTCAAAAACAGGTTAGAGTTGTGTTTTGTTTCATTCACACATGTTCAACACACAAACCCATATTTAGGCTGAGTTCTTCTCTCAAACTGAAAACACTCTGTTCCACATTGTGATGTCGTGTGGTAATACAGAAAGTGCTCCACTGTGTTTTTAAGCTCAATACACCTTCACTAGAATCATTTGGATAATTTCAGTCCTGGAATTTGCCCATCTCTACTGAACAAAAAGTAAAAAATATCCATTAACTTGAAAACTACTGCTTCACATGATAAGGTGGAACAGAGCATTTTGAGCTTTGGAGATGTAGACACACTAATAATGCAGCTTTACTCAAACATGTGTGAATGAAACAAAACATAACTCCAGGCATATTTTTGAGGAGGAAACATTACAACATGGCTTAAAGCTCACCAGAGTCGATTTTGTGTAATACAGGACCTTTAATTTATTCAGTATAATTCTTGGATTAGGGACTGTCATAGATGTCCAATGGAATACACTTTTCTTAATTAATACATATTTTTTTTACAATATTAATTTAGTTGGGTATATGCATTTGGTTCAAAATGCTGTAAAAACTAAACTATTCAAATCATTCATGTTGCGTTTCCATTCCTTGCCTTACTTGATTAGCACACCCTGTTAATGTTTAGAAATAAGAATTAGCACAGTACAGTACAATATATCATTTTGTCCACCTGCTTACGTCAAAAACATCTGTCAAACACTGTCTATTTTTCTTATTTCTTTTGCAACTCTCTATTGTAAATATTCCAACAAGAATGAGCAGAGAAGACAAAAATGTATCTATATTACGGTCACTTGTGTACAGTTTGGCCTGCTCTATCCATCTCGGGTTATGTGGTCTGTAATCGGTGTCAGATGCCTCCCCTGCAGTGAGAGAGATTTCTTGGAAACTCTACAGAAGTTTGTCCTGGCGCACAGATGTTGTGAAGGCGAGTTTTGAGTTTTACAGCGACAGCATTCACGGGAGCTCCTCTAAAACTAGAAAGCAGCGTTCAGGTGAGGTAATTACCCAGGAGGCCCGGCTCTGAGACTGCACAGATGAAGGCATTGATGAGAGGAGATGTCAAATGGCGCCGTATAAACTGAACAATACGCAGAGAGGAGAGGAGGGGGTGTGTGAGGGAGCCAAGGGGGTCTTACTGTGCCAAATATATGAAACAGTAAACAATGGCAGTATTTTGTTGTGGTTTTTGCCAGAGCATTGTGAAAACTGAATAGACATAAGTTAAAATCACTTAAATCTTAAAAGTACACTGTGTAACTTTTTGGTGGGGGTGAGTCACCTGTTTGTTTCTATGGATATGATGCTGCTTTGCCTGGAATGTTCCACAGTATGACATTAAACTGTGATTTTATAGCTCAAAATACCTAGAAAAACTGGCATTCTGATTGTGAGCCAGGTTGCCTCTCCACAGATCTGACTTGTAATTCGGTCTGGTTTGGTTTCTATGAAGATAGAAAAGTTTAATGCCATACTGTGAAACATTACAGACAAAATAATTCACAATTAACCAGAAAAGTTACACAATGCGTCTTTAACGTTAATTAGTTTTGATTAGTTCACATTTACTTGCTTACTTATTTGTCTTGATTTTTTTTTATAAGTTTCAAGTTATTTCTGACTGTTTCAAGATGTTTTTCTTCTTTTAATTTTTCATGGATGCGAGCAATTATTTTTGTAATTTCCGATTTTTTTTTTACTCTGTTGACACATACTTTTAACAAAATTACAGAGGCGAGACACAATGAAAGTTAAAAAAAAAGTAGAGCAACAAAATAAACACATCCAAACTAGCAAACATTAGTATTTTAGGGATTCAAATCAAACATTAGTATTCTAGGGATTCAAACCAAACATTAGTATTTAAAGTATTCACACATTAGTATTCGTAATTCAAGCCATTTAAAGTCATATATATATTGTTTTGTTTTGTTTGCTTGTTTTTTCCCATGGCATGTTACCTGGAGTGTAGTGGAAAGACTGGGAGCGCATGAGAGGCCGTGCAGGTAAAACATTTCCTTTAGTTGAAGCGTCTCCTTTGGGGCACAGGCTCGGGCTGTGTGCCCCTGTACCTGAGTTAGCCACACTAAAATCTAAGACAAGACACATGCATGAGAGGCTACATTCAACTAAACTACAAAACATGCATTCACAAAAACTAAACACGTGTTAGTCAAGCTGTTGATTGGTATGGGGAAAGATTTCAAAAAGTACATGCTGTGTACAAAAAATATTTCCTGTAAATAAAATAATATAATAATCCTCAAACTATTTTTCTCAGTTGCTCGTATAGGAATTCTTTAAAGGTATGTAACTTTTATACTGTTCTGTTGGTCCACCTCCTGCTTGCCTCAATGTAGATGTTATTACTTTACGTTAAAAGTTTCTGAGTATAGCATTAAGCTTTCTCCATGGATGCCAAGTTAAATGCCAGTGGAGAGGTGAACCCATCCCGTTTTTTCAAGGTTTTTTAACTATAAAACAACTGAAATTTTATCAAATCAAAATAGGTATGTTTTAATGGCAAACTTCGGAACACTGAAGGCGAAGCAAGAGTACAGAGGCAAACAAGTGGTGGACCCTCCCCAGAAGAAAAGTTACACAATGCACCTTTAATTTATTGACTGTCAAACAGACTTGGGTAAATGAGTAACTGATTTGTTGCCTTTTTGAGCAAGATTGTACAAGAAGACTAATAAATACTTTTGACAGATACTGACCTGTGATTCTGATATTTTCTTTTAAAAGTGACTTAGTTTAGACTTTAGAGTTTTACAATTTCACATGACAAACCTTGGAGATACAGGTATTAAAAACTACACTACATTGGAGTCTAAATGAGAAAGATGTCTACTGCCTTTCTGATCATGCAGAACTCACACTTACCAGGCAGCGAGGAGGAGGAATGGGTTCGAGATATGCCGTGACTGTGGAGATTTGGCTGTAAGAAAAAAAACACACGCAAAAATCTTAATTGCCATGTGCTTTTCAAGAACTGTTTGTACACTACCAGTATTTACTAAGAAATTCCTGGCACGTTTATCGTTATTTAACTACATTTAAAAAGCTGATTCACTTTATGTTTACTGCCTTTGTGCCCTCAAGCAACAGCACAAACATTTTCAGAAGCCACGCCATGGAGAAACATTTATTTAATTTCATGGGAAAGTATTTAAAGTATTATTGATCTAATAAATTTAACAAATTTCAAAGAAAGAAATGACACATAATCACAAGTCAGCACCAGTTTTTGTTCTAGTAATCCTGGAGCTATTTGGAAAGACGGAATGGGAGGTCATCTGAATTAAAATCTAATCAAAATCAATATGAGTTTACTCATTACAGGAGAAGGAAAGAAGATTCAGTGTATTTTTAAAACATGAATGTCTAGGAATCTTAAATTATTCTTAGCAAACTAAACTAAAAACTAATTTTGTTTCCTATTTAAACGCAGTATATTTACCAACCCATGTGCCACAGTCTGGAGTCCTTAACTAAACAACCTGCTTTATGGTCTGGACAGTGCAAACAGCAAACAGCCTGGGAGAGGAGCCAGAGAGGATCTTGGGAAATGCGGTCCGTGACTTGTTTTAATCATGAGCTGTGCTTAGGAGTAATTCTGTAGAGCCTAGGGGGTCGGAAATATCTTTTTGTACTGATAACGGTGGCCCATATGGGAAAAGGCATTTTACATCAGCAGCTTCTGAATCTTGTTCTTACTAAAACTACAAATTATTCTGACATTTATAATCTCCCCCTCTCCTTCATAAGTCTTGTAAGACAGAAGTCCAGCTCTTTTTGGTCTTTTAAAGTGGAACAAGATAGACAAAACCTCAGGGATTAGCTCAAATTGATGCCAACAAGAATGAATAAACATATCAATCATTGTACTGCTAATACTATCTAAAACACATATTATGATTTCTTTATGGTATTTAGTGGTAATTACAAGTAGATATTTTTGTACATTTTATTTATTGTAAACAACAATATCGATTTAAATCATCATAGTTAAGTTTAAGAGAATGGCAAAGGAAAAATATTTGAAAGAATAACAACAGTACAGTAAATAGACTGTTGTTATAATTAGAATAATTGTTCATTTTTTTATGATGATGTAGTAAAATGTTGTATTAATGTCATATTAATTTTAAGATGAATGTCCATTAACGTGCTGTAGTTGGAGATAAGGGGAGGCACAATCAGCTTTAGCTTCTGCCTACACCAGGTCAGTGACTTAGTATTTGATTCTACATATTGAATATGTTTTACTATGACATCAGATTGAATATAATGTATGTAGACTGTAATGAGTTAAACACTGACCCAATAAAAACACATGAATATGCAAAAAAAAAAAAATCATCATAGTTGCATTTCAATAGCCAGGCTGGTGCCACCTAGTGCCTCCACTCAATTTCATTTCTCTCCAGCGACTAGGTCAAGAATGAGAATACACTAGACGGTTTGCAAGAACCCCAGAAGTGTGAGTTCGGGCATCAGCAAATCAGCGAAGAGTCATACATTCTGTGTTGGCAATGATTCCCGAGATCGAGGATTTAAAGCCAGACAAAGAGAATGTTTGGTGAATTTTATCAAGGGAAAAGACGTTATTGCCCTTCTTCCTATGGGATTTGGGAAAAGCATATGTCACGACCAAATAGCAGCGATTGGTTAAATTTTAAAAAGTACATGCCTACGCAAGCGAACGAATCCTAATGCTGCGAGGTCAGACGGTTTCTACAAAGTGAAACCGGCTGATGAATCAGGCTAATATTTCACTGCAGCAAGTAGTGGATTTTCATGTACGTGTTTCTATTGTTGAAAACGAGCTATGTAACTTTTTTTTAAACTCGACTTACTCTGAATGCAAGTAAGTGCAGAGAAGTGGGTGGAGATAGGGGGTAGATTGAAAATAGGTATTTTCTCAGCACTCAAGCCTCAAACACAGGACAATACAGGATTACTCAACATGCATGAATAAATCAAAATCCTACTTTAATGTAGACATAGACATAATTCTGACATGTGTGAATGGAACAAAACACGAGTCCAAGTATGTTTTTGATGAGGTAACAACATTCTAACAAGGCTTAAAGTTTTGTGTAATATAGAACATTTAAATCCCAAATACTTCATCGTGTATTAAGAACGTCTCCAAATGCCAAGTTCGGATAAATAAATGGGATTTCACCAAGACCAATGAAAGAAGACAGGTCTGAGTATGAATTAATACAAATGTACGATCCAGTTGTGCATTAGATCATTGTTGACAAGCTAACTCATATTCCTGGAAATGTTTTTTTTCCAACTTGGCTTTCATAGAAGTGTAGTCATAACAGATTAGTACACTGACTCAACAATATATTATTATTATTATTTCAGCACTGATGTAAGCAGGACACTGGAAAGTTCATTATGAAAATACTAGAAGAGTTTTAGGCATTAACATTCCTGTGGTGACAAATAAAGTGGGGACATTTCCGAATTCACAAGGTTTTAAAACATTTGTGGTTTAGGTAATATCCGTTTTAACCATACGCTGCTACTTTAATGGGAAAACGCTCTGCATCATTAGAGCCAGGTCCCTCTAGACAAATGGACAGTGAACACAACACTCTGTAGCTACTTTTTATTTCCTGTGCAAAAGGACATTACAAAGTGTCCCTCCACCTGCATCAGACTTATTGTTCTCTGTTAGATAAGTCTGGTCTGAGTCACTACGGTTGATCGTGACAACCAGCGCTATCATAAAATACAGGGAGGTCAATGTTACTTCCTCTGTTCCGAACTAGTGTTGTGAAGTAAAACAGGTGGTGACGTAAGAAGTAGATGAAGTGCACCATCTATTTACTGCAAAATAATAAAAAACTAGGATTATATGATGGCTTTTATCTTTTGGGGTCAGTAAATTATTTGACTTATTATATGCTAGTCACTTGTATGGTTATTAAATTGCAGTGTGTGAGCTGCTGTGTCCAAGTCATTTCTTTTGTGGATCAATGAAGTTTGTCTATGTCTAAAAGTACATATACATAACTTAAAGTGTTTGAGCCTGTTATAAAGTTATAATCTATGACATCTATGGATCGTTATGTAATAATTAATTAATACCAATGTAATTAAAGAATTAAGTTTGCTGTCCTCTGCATTAGAAATATGAGGAGCCCAATGGGAGCTGATGTCACCATAAACTTCATCACAAAAAAGAGTCAGCACCTCTGATGGACAGCTGCAGGTCACGCGGACATTTTAAAAAATCTTTTTACCAAAATTACTATGCAATGCTGCCAACTCCAATGCATTTCACTGATTAAGAAAATAAAACTGGAGAACAAAATAAGTAGAGAGCAGTGGGTGCATGCACAAACAGGGTTCCCACTCTTTTTCACTGACAAAATTTCAAACCTTTCCATGACTTTTTCATGACCTAAAGTGAATTTTTCATGACCTAAAGTGAATTTTCCATGACGTGTGTAGAATTTATCAGACTTTTAGGGCTAAATATGAAGTGTTAACCCTTTCTTCTTTCTTCTTCTTTCACTCTCTTTATGGTTTGGTATTATGGTTTTTTAACATTCAAAATAAAGTCAGTGCATTTATTGTTTTCTCTTTTAAACAAAAGGCGCAGACGTTTAGAAATAATCATAATATCCTAATGATAACGTAACAGAACACTGTAGTTGCGTGAAAGATACACTAAAATTCCATGACTTTTCCAAAACTTTTCATTGAATTTACAAAATTCCATGACATTTCCATTTTACAGGCCTGGAAAAACCTTTTCAATTTCTGTGACTTTTCCAGGATTTCCGTGGGAACCCTGCACAAATCACTCCAAATTCAGCAATGTGAGGGAACGGGGACTCAGAAGGGAAAACATCTATAAGAGTAAAAGCTCTGAAAAGTTGATTTTGCATTATAGATCTGCTTTAAGTTAGTGAAGTTTCCCCCCATGTTTTACCTGAGAGGCAGACAGAGAGTTGACTCCGCTGTGGAAGCTTGTCTGTGGAGGTCTGTGTGCGCTGGAATGACCGGGGGGCTGCTCTTTTGCCATCAGCGCCTCAGCACGCTTGATGATGTCACCCATTCGATAGATGAAGCCCTCCTTCTCCGACGGCAAGATGAACTCATTGTGCACCTGCCAAACATGCAACTATGAGTAAGTAGACAATCATTTAAATTTGATATTATTCAAAGTGAGCATCTTATGTTCACTATTTCACTTGCATGTTTTTGAATTATGAATAAAATAGATAGATACATTTTTTAAAGGTGCACCATGCTATTTTTCTGGTAAGGAAGTCCACCACCTGCTTGTCTACATGGAGAATTGACTGAAGATGATATTGCTTTGTTACCTACAGTTTTAATTCATACTGTGAGCAAGTCTGTTTCTCTACTTGGCCTGCTAGCGTCTCCATGGAATTAGACAAGCTTAATACCATTGTCTGGAACATTACAGGTAAAGCAATAACATCTCCATGGAGATAAGCTGGTGGCGCATTCTTCACCAGAAAAAAGTTACCAAGTGCATCTTTAAATTTGATTAAAAACTACACAAGAAAACTTCCTCCTAGGGTACAGATTTTTCTCTTATTTATCCAGATTTGCGACTGGCACAGAAATATGAAGCTTGACAATACAGCCACCTTCTCTGTGTGCATGGCTGTTTACATAATGACTTTGTATACTCATTGACAGTGATTTGTGTTCTGGGCGTGGTAAGAGTCTGCTGTCAGCCTGGCATAAGTCACCTCCTTAAGTGCTTCATATTGAACCACAGGCACTGGCTTGGATGCCAACGACCCCCTCTGTGCCAAGGCTAGTAAACAAAAGAGCAGTGTGTTTGTACGAGGGAAAAACAGTACACAGAGGGAACAAAAAGTGCTTTACCACCGCGTCCTCGTACAGAGCTGGGTACAGAGACCTGGGTACAGAGCCCGCCACTGTCAGTAATGAGTCTTAAAAGCCATAAGAGACACAAGCTTCGCCTGCGTCATGCCACTCACGACTCAGGAAATGTAATATACTGTACCAAAGCTTTCAGACAGGTTTATGAGAGACACTTATGAGTTAATGCATCATTGTCAAATGTGGTCAGTACATTGGAATATCGAGGATGTTGTTTTTTTTTTAAATTACATTTGGTTATTAAAGGTGCACTGTGAAACTTTTCTGGTAGAGGGTCTGTCACCAGCTTCTCTTCATGGAGATGTTACCTGGAATATCATTTATCTTATTTGACTTATATTTCACTTATTTCCCTACAGAGACTAGGGCTGGGTATCATTAAGAAGTTGCCAATACAATACATACCTTGATACACAGGCCATGATACCATACATATCTCGATACAGTGCACTTTCAGTTCGATACGATACATTTCAAATCGATTCAGTACCGTTTAATAAAAAAATTATGACTAAATGATGGATGTGATACTAAAAGTGTTTGTTAAACCACTTCTTGTGCAAAATGAATATGAAACACAAACATTTTACTCATCAAATTTGTTGCATAAACAAGTTTCCTTTCAGTAACCAAACAACAAAACTGTAGCACTACAACAAAATAATTTTGTAAAATATAGCAAAAAATACTCTTTGCAATATATCGATACAGCAATCCATGATATCGATACTGTATCATCACATTAAACGATATAATATTTCGATATTTTTACACATCCCTAACAGAGACAGCAGGTGATGCCAATGACATTTCAGACAAAGCAATAACATCTCCACGGAGACAAGCAGATGGCACCCTCCACTGGAAAAGTTACACAGTGTACCTTTAAGTATATTATTTTCTATTAAAAATGGCAAAAACAGCCCTAAAAGTTGATCCAAACATAACAGAAATGCATGTGTCATTTGTCAGATATGGGTGGTCTATATATTTTTTTTAGTTTATGTTAGTATAGTTTATTTACATAAACCTCGACCAGGACGTTTTGCAGGTGTGTCGTAAAACACTATAAGCTCTTGACAAAGCACTGGCCCTATCTCGCAATAGTGCCCAGATTAGAATGGCTAATGGTAAATGCTGCAATAGAATGTGTTCTGACAATGGTGACAAATGTATTTATAAGAACCATTTCATGTAGAGACTGAATTTATTACCTATGTCAGTAAGTAATATAGGTAATATAAAGCACTCTATTGTATTTGAGGAATTCTTATATGATACAAATAAAGTCAAGGTCAGTGAAAATGAGTCATGTGTGTATTCAGCAGACACAGAGCTCAACTGTCAATATTATTTATATTATTTATGCTTTATACCATATGAGAAAATACTGGTATGCCAAAACCAAAGACTATCACTGCAAAGTAAGAACAAGAGCAAATCTACAAGAGTTTATAAATGAAGAATCCACAGCTAATAAACAGTGGATTCTACAAAACAGTCTGAAAAATTACTTTAGACATGTGTGGAGCCATTTTCATTAAAGGTCCACCTGCTTTCCTCCATGATGATGGTATTACATTGCCTGTAATATTCCACAGTATAGCATTAAAGCTATCTATCTTTCAAGGTATTTTTGAGTAATAAAAATACAACAAAAACAGATGCCAGATAACTACTTTTAATGGCATACTGTGAAACATTAGCCAGGCTGGCACCACCTAGTGCCTCCGCTCAATTTAATTTCTCTCCAGCGACTAGGTCAGGAATTGGAATACACTAGACGGTTTGCAAGAACCCCGGAAGTTATAGACAGTGTGCCGGCCAATCAGAGAAGAGCTGTAAAGCCATGACGTCAAACTCAAGTGTCTGTCTGTGTCCCTTGTGTGGTACAACACAACAGTAAGCAAAGCGGTCGAGATGGATGTAGATGAAGACATACATTCTGTGTTGGCAACGATTCCCAAGATTGAGGATTTAAAGCCAGAACAAAGAGAATGTTTGGTGAATTTTATCAAGGGGAAAGACATTATTGTCCTTCTTCCCACGGGATTTGGTGCATTACATACATCACAACCAAATAGTAGGGACTGGTTAAATAAAAAAAGTACTTGCCTACTGTCGAGCGAATTAATCATAATGCTGTGAGGTCAGGTGGTTTCCACAAAATGAAACCAGCTGATGAATAAGGCTAGTGAAACATGGCATTGTCAAAGTAATAAAATCTCCATGGACACAAGACAAATTACACAGTGCACCTTTATATAGTGAAATATCTCACTTGAATCATCTGTGTTGAATGCAGTGTTTGTTTGTTTTTTAGGTGTGTTGCTTTCTCATTTATAGTTTTTTATGCCATATCCTTATAGTACAATGAATTTGTCACATAAAACAGATTTTGGCCTCACCATCACAGCGGCAATGTCCTCGGGGCTGTCTCCGTCCAGGTCAAATTTGAATGTGACCATCTTGTCATTGTGGGTCTGAAGCTGGCACTCCACCACTCGGTCCACTTTATCAGAGAGCTGCAGAGGGACACATGAATGTAATGACTCTGGTCGGTTTACCATAAGAACACAAGGAAACAGCTAAAGGTTTCAAAACAAAAGCCTACGTCATTGTTAACAGGTGTAATCTACTGTAATAAATGTATTCTCCTGAAACCCAAGCTGTGATACCAGTATTTATTGGTTAAGAGATGGATTAGCCCCATTTTATGGTGATGAGAGCCTTGTTTAGACCCCAGGTCTAAACAAGGTCTCAGGTCTCATCACCATAAAATGGTGATGAGACCATAACATGGCTATTACCCAGTAGTAGGGTGGCAAGATTAATCACAGGACAATCCAAATTTGAATGAATACAATGAGCAAATCGCAAAAACCTGCAAATTTTAAGTACCATAATTTCTAGGGATGCACCGATACCGATACCGATACTGGTATTGAATGTGGAAGCAAATCCAGGGAAAGTTACATTATTGAGTATTGGTCCCATGATATCAGTAATGTCAGATATCAGCAGATACTTAAAGACATGGTATTGATATTGGTATCAGTGCATCCCTAATAATTTTCCCAACAAAAAAGAGAATATTCCTGTCTCTGCATTAAACTGCTAACCCTGTAGTTCAGATGTGTATAAATGTTATTATAGTGTAATGGTAGATTACAGTAACCTATATTTTATCTTTATTTGGACAGTTCTGGTCCAGACTCATCTCAGTGCTGGTTTGACCTGATTTAGTCCTGATACAGACCTGGGCTGTTCTTGGTTTAGACTTGGTTTATTCTGGGTTAGTCCTGAATTAGATTTAGTTTGAGTCTGGATCATACATTTTTCTGACTTATAGCTAGAGTTTTTAGTATCCAAATTTATACCAGACTCAGTCCTGTTCCAAAAGTGTCTCTGTCCTGGTTTGGATCTGTCTGAGTTCTTGGTTAGACCTGATGTAGTTCTGGCTCAGACCTACGTTGTTCTTGGTTTAGATTTGGTTTATCTAGTGAATCTGGGATAGTCCTGTATTAGAGCTAGTTTAAAACTGGATTATACTTCATCCTGGATTATATCTGGTATTATCAAAATGTACATGTAATTCAGTTTTGTTCCAAACATGTCTCAGTCCTGGTTTCGATCTGTCTGAATTCTTGGTTAGACCTGGTTTACGCCTAGCTCAGACTTGCATTGTTCCCGGTTTAGATTTGATACCTGGTCTTAGAAGTTGTCAAGACTTTTCTGGTGAAGTCTCAGTCCTGCTTTAAATTCGGTTAAGTATAAAAGCTTGATTTTGTCCTTCTGATATAGATTTCTTTTGTTCCTGGTTTAGTCCTGATATTGTTTTCCTATGAAACTTTTTTTAATCAAATCAAAGTTTTACGCTCCCTGCACACAGTTGACATGTTTGTTTGTATCCTGGAGTCATTATGTGACCGCACTGTGTCCCATCCACAGAGAAATGTGATGTGGTCGTCACGGGAACAACAGCACAAACGCAGACAGTGTTACATAACTGGGGCGGAGCGACACTCGTAAATAATGATTGTAAATAAACCACTTCTAATTTGATTAATTCATGAATGTTTCACAGAATAAACAGGCTCTGTACAGTTATAATACAGTCTGAATCTGCAGGACGAGGCACAAGATGAAGAAAAGTTTTTAATTACGCATGTTTTTCAAAGTGGCAGCAATGGTTCAGTAGTTCGCCCACAAGCCAACAGGTTACAAGTTTGATCCCAGCTTCGTTCAAGTGCAATCTGTTTTTAAGTCACTGGGCAAAGTACTTCTCCAACATTGCCTAGTACATAAGTTATTACAGACACTAGACACTAATGCACCTTACAAGATAGCCCTGACTTGGAACGCACTTTAGAAAACAGGGGAGGGTGGGGTCTGTTTTTAAAAACTGTATTTGACATACAATATTTTAAACTATTTATTCTTATTATTATCTGTGCTTCTGTTGACCAGGAACCAGTCTTTCTTTTCTGTGTATTTTTTATACTAAAATAACAAATAAATTCTTATTCTGATTCTGATTTTCTTAATTTATTCTTAGCATCCTAATTATTCACGATGATAAGTTTTTAAGGGCTTTTCACAATGCAGTCAAGGTAAAACTAACAACAACTAGTATGTTAACAGCACACTTCCTAATTCTTGGATAATAAAACGTTTTATATTTAGCACACAGCAATCTCATTTTAATCCTGTCTTTACTAATAGTACCTGTACTGGGATCATTTTCACTCAACTACATGGACAAAAATCAGTTACTTAAAGTACTTTTCTGAAATAAATTGATCAAATAAAAAAGCAAAAGGTAGTTTTTGTACCCCGGTGATGCGAAGTCTAGATCGTGCTCGTCTCCTGAACAGTTTGGCAGCGGTTCTTCTGGCTGCTGGTTTCTCATTCTTCTCCGTCAGACCCTCGTATCCGTCACTGAGCCCGGACATCACATCGGAGCCATAGCTGTAGAATTACACAGAACATTTAATGGGCTACTGGTTTGTAAATGTGCCCGCAAAAACCACTCGATCTTTTTCCACATTTAGAAGTCATTTGTTATAATGCTCCACAGCTGTCAAGAATTATTATTTGAATCTGGCAAACAATAATAAACACTGGGTTCTGTCGACAAAGCCAAGGATGTTCCAGGGACGGAAATTACAATCAAAATCTGTTCAACAAATGTATTTCTTTCTTTTTGGCTTTTGGCTTTTGTTTAGTTGAGTTGGCGAACAGCGTATTGAGTTGTTGAAACAGTCTCTTATGTAATGATTTATACTGGCTTGCGACCACAACAGCAAACAGGATTACCAAACAATAACGTACCCACTACTACTATTGTTATTAACAGACAATACCATCAAACTTGAAGGCACTGTACCTGTTTTTGTACTGGTTTCAAAATGTTAAAAACAAAACAAATTTCACTCTCCAGTCTAATTATTTGCCATCAAATCCATTATTAAACATAGAGAGAAAAAAGTAGAAAGATTGGAAAATGGATATGGTAGCATAATCAGCACAACTGATGTTTACTTAATTATATTAAAGGTACAGAACTTTTCAGGTGGAGAGTCTGCAACCTGCCCCATGTAGATGTTATTGCTTTCCCTGGAATGTTCCATGGTTTCAGATTAAGCATATCCATCAAGCACAGGGGCGGGCAAACTTTTTGACTTGTGGGCCACAAAGTGTTCTAAAATGTGACAGAAGGGCCGTACCAGGAGCAGATGGATGGACTTCTTTGGCAATCTACCTCATGAGAGAAAAAAATAACATGAGATATGCAGAAAAGATATCCCAAGTTATTGAAATATCCCATAATTGAAAATCATTACAAAGCATTACAACAAAATATTGTTTTTTCAAGTCCCACGGTATTTATTATTTGTTGAAATTACTTTTAAAACACTGAAAATTATTATTATTATCATTATTATTATTATTCAAATTTGGTGGGCCGGATTAAAATTTAAATTAAAGGGCTGCATATGGCCCCCGGGCAGTAGTTTACCCACCCCTGATCTACCATTTATTTATTATGAGTGTTTCTACTGCTCAAAGCTACCATAAGTTCTTCTGTGAATAAGGGCGACTCTCCACAGACTTGAATTGTAATGTAGCGTAGTGCTGTAACCTGACTGTCTCCCCCTGTGATGGATCTGTTTAATTTATACTGTGGAACATTCTGGGCAAAACAATAACATTTCCATGGAGACAAGCAAGTGGTGGACCTTTCATTAGAAATGTTACACAGTGTACATTCCTTTTAACCTTTAATCGTGAAATTTATTTGTGAGAGGTGCAGTTTTAGAGGGGTGGCTTTAAAGAAAAAACACTTATCTAGATGACTGGGCAACTTTGTCTTGATAAATAGTCTACACTATGTTTTTAATGTCGTCAGTGTAGTATTGTATAAATGAACAAATAAACTTATGAAGATATGTTTTCTCTGGATGATAATTTGAATAAGAAAGCCATTTTATAGTAATTAGCCATAGTTAAATGTCAAAAACAGACCATCAATCATCCACCCAGGCATGTAACAAAAATCTTCAAAACGTTTCCAACAAAACCTGATCCAGATGGTGAAACGTGGTGAGCAACATGTTTCTTAGAATTTGAGAACATTCTCAGTTTTTTTTTTCTCTTGGTTTCTTGAAAAGTGCTGATTGAGTTAATAGCGCCTCCAGGACTTTTTGCACCGCAGTGGCCACAGGCTCACATTTATAGGCCCACTGTTTGGCAGCGCCCAGGCTTCTATATTTAAAACCTGCTCTTTATGGGTAACTCCAGTTCAACACATTTCTCTTGGTTCGAGATCTACTTCGAAATAGACAGGGTAGATAGATAGTCCAGTGAGTCTTTTGTTGGCTGATCCACAAATACAAGGCTTTTCTCAGAACCAGGCTAAGAATATGTTGTGTATTCAGCTGATTCACTCTTAAGATGGTACTTAAAGGTGCTGTATCTTATTTTTGCAGTCTTAAAACTGTGCAAAAAAGAACTAGTTTATTCTACAAGGCCCAAATTAAGCTATTTTCCAATCTATGTTATAATCTTCAGACCTGGAGTTGTGTTTTGCTTCATTCACACATTTGTTTGAATGTTTAACACACAAACCTGCATATTTAAAACAGAAAACATCCTGTTACACCTTGTAATGTAAACAAGAAGTGCTCCACTATGTTTTAAACTCCATACACCTTTCCTAGAATCATTTTGATCATTTCAGCCCTGGAACTGACAATCTCTACTGAACTAAAGGTAAAAGGTAATTGTTAACGCCATAACTACAACTACATGCAGTTTGAGTTTGTGAATGTGGGAATGAAAACTAAATACAACACCAGGTATGTTCCTGAGCATGGCTTAAAGCTCACAAGAGTGAATTTTGCATCATATAAAACCTTTAAACAGCTTAAAGTGGTCCAGAGTTATTCCTCGCTTACCTCATGTATTCTGAGCATCCTAATTTCACTGCAATGTATTTCTAAGCACTTTTGCACAATTGTCAGAAGCCAGATCTGAGTTTTGCCATCACATTAATGCTAACAACAACTAGCATGCAAACTTGCACTTCCTGATTATTGGACATTAAAATAGTTTAGAATATATCCTGGCATATTTTGACCTCAAGAGCTGCTTATACAATATATCTGCAGTGGGTCAAGACATATTTTGATCAAATACATGGGGGAAAAAAACACGTACAGAGCCTTTAAATACACCAGATTTGCAGTATTGGTATCAACACAAAACAATCGAGATCTTGCCAGTTATTTAAAAAGTGTTGCGCCAACTGCTAGTTCAGTGCCAAATGTTTCCACCATTGAAATCTATTTTGATGCATGTCGTAAATCAATTTAAACAGTCAACAGTATTGGCCAGGAAAATAAAGGCCAGGCATTTGTCTATTTGAGCATGACAGTCTTGTGATCTGACTTGAATTTTGTCCCCATGAAGTACCCATACATCAAAATCAGGACACATTTACAATCAGGCTATTCAAAGAGTAAGTCAGACATTTGTAAACAAGTTCTCAACAATACTAGTATATACTTCTGAAATGCACTGGTTGACAATACTCATCAGAAATTATGAAGTTTTCAGGTGTTAAAAACTTCCACATTTCTTAATTGAGTGCCTTCCTTATCAGTCTCTTAGTATTTTAGCTGCTTATTTTGTTATTATATTATATTGTGATGTATGAGCTTCTGTGTACAAATAATTTCTCCTGTGGATCAATAAAGTGTGTCTAAGTAAGAAATTTACAGTTAGTACATCAAAATAACAATAAAAAAAAATTAATTAAGTCTTTTTCATTTACTCAGTGTTTCTCATTGACGGAGGGGACTATGGTGGCCACCCATTGTCTAATTTTTAATCGAAAAAGGAAAATAAATTAAACAAATAGCACGTTATGCTTTGAGAGGAATAAACATAAAGATCTATATTTAATTTGTAATCAGTGCTTTTTAGACCATTTAAGGCAGACATGTTAAACTCAGGACCGGGGGCCAAATTTGGCTTGCGATATAATTATATTTGGCCCACGAGATCATATCAAATATGTATTAGAGCTGACCCACCAACTACAGATAGACTAGAGACATTATTTATTTAAAATGTTGTTATTATTTTGTATAATGCTTGTTCTGGATTCAAGGTTTAAGCAAAACTATTATTCAACATTTATCTGAATAAGAAAAGGTTTAACATTACATTTCTCAAAAGAAGAGAAAACATGCAGATTTTGTTGAAATTTTTAATAAATATTTAGTTTGGCACACGACTTAGTCCCAGTTTTTAATTTTGGCCTCTGTCAATTTCAGTTTGACATACCTGACTTAAGGCAATACGTGACATTATCTTACAAAAGTTAAATTAAATTAAATGATTTAAATATGAATTGTTTGTTTGGACAGGACTTGACTGACAGGTGATGTTTTGTCTACCCACTGGTGTTTGTGTAGTTTTGTGTAAGTGTTAAGTGTGGAAAGAGAGGTGGGGTGTGTAACAACTGAATGTACTCTACTTAAGTACTTTAAAGGTAAAAGTATCTAGTTACATCCCCCATGGACAGACTGAGAAGGTGCAGACACATGCAAAAGACATTTCCGTCATCCTATCAATCAAAAGCTACATTTCAGACAGATTCCAGGTTATAAACTTTTCCAAACACAAAATAAACAGACTATTTCCTGGAGTTTTCACAGCTTTCACACATAGAATAAAGCATATACCCCACCAACAGTGAAAACAGAGCCTCCCCCGCGTCACATAGAATCTACATGGGTCCAAGGCAGTAAAAACATCAGGCTGCCCCACACAGCAACACAGATGTGCAGTTATATACGCAACACCATTTCTAAAGATCTCACTAGCTAACCCATATACCTGTAAGCTTCATGTCTTTTTTTTTTTTTTGTCATAGTTTTTGCCAGTGTGGAATATCTCACACTATGCTTAACTGTACAGATATTTTAATTTACTAATAATGTAGGAACAGTTATTAAATTAATACCATTTCCCAAGGACTAGCTAACCCATATACCTTTAAGCGGTGTTTACTAATATATTTTTTATAATTCTGATGCTAGTAAAACGTTTAAATTATATATATATATATATATATATATATATATATATATATATATATATATATATATATATATATATATATATATATATATATATATACATACACACACACACACACACACACATATATACATATATATATATATATATATAAAAACTATGATTCATTGTCAACTAAGCTCCTTGTGAAAAAATGTCAGTTATTTATTTTTTTTTTTATAGAAGTTCATTATATTTTCAGGAGATTTTATCAACTAAATCATTCTTAATAAATATATTTTGATGAATATACAGTACATATATGAATTGATTATTTCGTCATGCGTTAAGGCTGTAAATAGTGTAATTATTATTATTAAATGTTATGATATATTTTTATTAAAAGTAAATTGTATTTTACAAAAGTAAAGTACTAAATGAAAACATTTTAGAGGTTATGGAAATTTCAAATTGCCAAATGTTCGAACTACCTGTAAAAGTTTCTGTGTGTCTATATGTGGTGTAAAACTCTGGAACAGTCTGGATACATGTCTCGAGCAATGACAAAATATCTATAAATTGAAGTTGTTATATAAACATATGGTCTGGTCACAGTATAAAGAGAGTGGGTCTTAATATTACAACAATACTGCCTCTGTAGAGCTGCTTTATGCTTGTTGTTTCCTTACCAGTGCTGGTATGTGCTGTCTGTTATCATTGTTAGTAATACAATACAGCAATACAATTATGTTACCAATCTATAACACTGTCTCTTTGTCCGCATTTGTAAATAGTTCATATAGTTTAATGTAATGTATAGTGTAATGTAATGTCTGAAAAATTCGAAAGAAAGCTCATTGTGTTAGATTAGAAGAGGGGGGTGGGATTAAATACATTTTCTTCTTCCCACTCATTTTTGGGCCATTTTTTAAAAAAGTTTTGTTGTTGTTATTTCTGCTATGGTTTCATTAATGTTGTATGTTCTACTGTAAAATAATGTAAATATCTTACTTGCCCAAAACAAAATACATAAATCAAATCAAAATTTAAAATATATATATTTTAATCAACACTATTCAAACCTGAAGGAAGTAATTAGGAGATGATTTAATGCTGAATAAGTCGTACCTGTCCACGGGAGAGTTAAGGCCACTTGAGGGACCTGAGTTGCTGTGCTCAGTGTTGCTGGATACGGCGATGCTCTGGAAACACAGAATCAACAAAACAAATCAGAAATGCCATGTTTTGAACAGTAATGTCTATACATTATAAGCCTGATAATGTTTTTTTTTTATATAAAGCATTCGATGTCTAGATAATGTCTGGATTTTTTAAAGTGGGTCAAACTCTTGCGTGTAACAAAAGGCTTGTGGGGGATGTGAAATGGGATTTTCACTTAAGTGGCAAACATTATGAAGACACACGCACAACCCACTTTTCTTTCCCGGGCAAATTGTTCGTTTAATAGTTTTACTTCATACTGTCACACTGTTTATAATGAGACTTAATGTGACTATGTGCTTTTGTGATGCATTTTTACTATTATTTGTAGTTAAAAAAAATACAAAAAAGAGCCTAATTTTGATATTTCAAAGAATAACTATGTCCCACTTGAAATAACAAACATAAATACCACATAGACAGATAATTGAGTTTATTCATAGATTTCAGCTCATGACAAACTAGGACAATTGTTATAGCTAGTAACAGTTCAAAACAAAGTATACTGTCTTTTGAATAGCAAAAAGTCCTCAAAATGGCATCTGTACTGATAGAAACCAATGAATACTACTCAAATTAAGACTTTTCAACTTGTATATTTGGGTTTTTGTATTGCTAGTGCTTGCTAATACAGTACATTTCCTATTAGCCATGGCTACATCTATTGTTTTTTTGCACATAACTCCACAGTTTTGGGGTCCACATCACTTACCGAGGGGAAACGCAGTGCCGGTATGGCCAGTCCATTAGCTGCATGTGGGTTTGCTCGTGCCGTAGGGGGGGTCCGGGGACCTTCGAGGGGGTCCTGCAGTCCGGAGGGGCTCAGATACCCGTCCGTCTCACAGTCAGCTGTTACAACAAAGAGCGTTAGTGGTTAGCATGTGATTAGCGCCGCTCTATAGGACTGCTATCTGTGACCTGACAATGCATCAGACGACCTAAACATGAGCACATTTTTCAAACACATGACTGTAAAGACATTAGCTATTGTTTCTGTACAACAAGAAATAACTTAAAGGTGCATTGTGTAACTTTTTGGGTGAGGGTCCATCACTTGCTTGTTTCCATGGATACGTCTTTGCAAGGGTAACCAGACTTTCAAAATAAACCGGGACACACCTGAGTTGGGATCGTTGGTATCAGAGGTCGGGACTTGAGTCGACTTGAGTCAACATTTTTAGACTTGAGACTTGACTTGATAAAATGGACTAAGACTTGGGACTCGACTCGGACTTGAAGGTCAGTGACTTGAGAAGACTTCATGCTTCTCCTAAAAAAATATATATATGTTTTTAGAAAATACTTTTCTCTTTACAGGTGATAATTGCAGTGCTGAATTTAACAGGAACAAACTGGAACATTTCCCTCCTACTTCTGTTTGTACTTTGGATGGAACTGAAGTACTGTGATGCTCAAATGTACTACAGTAATATATATACATATACTATACATATAATATATATATACAGAATATACAGTAAAACAGACGGAACTACAGAGAGAACATGATCCTTCATGACAAAATAACTGTAATTTAGAGCTTTTAAATCTGAATTATTTCTATTGTGTCTGTAATGATTCACACTAAGATCTTGATAAAACAAGATAAATACTTATATAAATAATTACAATTTAGTTTAAGCCATATAAATTGCAGAATTCTAAGCTTTGGTTTAAAGATGTGAAATGACTTGAGGCTCAAAACAGATGACTTGGACTTGACTTGGATTTATGGGCCAGAGACTCGAGACTCGACTTGGACTTGCCTGTATTTGACTTGGGACTTGACTCAGACTTGAGGTCAAAGACTTGAGACTTACTTGAGACTCGCAAAACAACGACTTGGTCCCACCTCTGGTTGGTATAAATAAAATAGTGAAATAGTGAATAGTGAAAATAGCGTGTAACATTGTGCATTCTCATGTCAGTCATAATTTGAAGGACTTTTTAACAATTTATGCTCCTCTTTACTGTTGGCAGGGATCAGATTAGTCAAGAATTGTGATAGTCCTGTTTTAGTCCTGGTAGACCTGATGTACGGTAGTCCTGGTTTAGTTTTAGTTTAGTCCTGGTTTACATCAAATTAGATCAAGAAATAGGGACACCTGGGACATTTCTTTTATAAAACTGGGACAAATCACTGGTTTTGGATAAATCTGCTTTGACAGGAGACACAGGACTCAAAACTGGGACTGTCCCGGGTAAATAGGTATGTCTGGTCACCCTCGTCTTCTCTGCTTTGAATGTTCCACAGTATTAAACAGCTCTACTTTACAGTTATTCAATTACAGGTGGTTTTAAAGCTCAAAAATACCTAGAAAAACAAGTATTCTGACTGTGAGTGGGGTTGCCTCTCCACAGATCTGACCTGTAACTTGGTCTGGTTGGGTCTCCATGAAGATAGAAAGGTTTATTGCCATACTGTGAAACATTACAGACAAAGCAATAACATTTCCACAGAGAAAAAGCATTTCACGGACCCTCCAACAGAAAAGTTACACAATGCACCTTTAACATAATCTTATTAGGCAACAGCTGTGCAGACAATAATGAATAATTCTGATGGTTGGACCTAAATTATTCAGCTGACAGTATCACATAGCACTGTACAAGTTAACAAAGCAGGTCTGTCTCTGTGGAGCAATATCTGTCAAACTATTGGGCAAACTAGTCTCAGTCAACTGGTTTTTAAGGTGTGGTCTGGGGACAATTATTGGAAAGGAGACTTCATTCAGTAGAGTCTTTAACTTTCATTTAGTTACTATTAGAGAATTACACAGGTTGATCTTGGTTAAATTAAGAAATTAAGGGTGGGACTGAACCAGGACTAGACCATGACTAATCTAAGGATAAACCAAGCATTGAACAGGACCAAATCAAGTCTACATCTTTGGGCTCAAACCAGGACATGGGCGAACGATCTCTACATTTCTGCATAGTCCTGTTTTCAGTAAGGACCTGAAATCAAATAGGATTCAGGACGTAAATTATTTAGTTTTATATTATACTGTATGTGTATATTATTTGTGTTTGAGTTTAGTCCTGATTTAGTCTGGTTTAGTTTTGGTTTAATCCTGGTTTAGTTCTGTTTTAGTCTTGTTTTAGTCCTAGTTTAGTTCTGGGTTAGCCCTAGTTTAGTCCTGGTTTAGCACTTGTTTAGTCCTGGTTTAGACCTGAGTTAGTCCTGGTTTAGTCTTGGTTCATGGATGGTTTTGTCTTGGTCTAGCCCTGGTTTAGTCCTAGTTTAGTCTTGGTCAAGTACTGGTTTAGTCCTGGATTAATCTTGGTTTAGTCTTGGTTAAGCACTGGTTTAGCCCTGGTTTAGCGCTGGTTTAGTCCTAGTTTATTTGTGGTTTAATCTTGGTCTCGACCTGGTTTAGCCCTGGTTTTGTCCTGGTTTAGTCCTGGTTTAGCCCTAGTTTAATACTGGTCTAGTCCTAGTTTAGCTCTGGTTTAGTCCTGGTTTAATCCTGGTTTAATCCTGGTTTAGTCCTGGTTTAATCCTGGTCTAGTCCTGGTTTAGCCCTGGTCTAACCCTGATTTAGTCCTGGTTCAGCCCTGGTTTTGTCCTGATTTACATCCTGTTTTTGTCCACAAATTTATTTCTCTTTTTCATTTTAGACCTGCATTACTGAAAGTTTAGGCTATTCTTTAGTCCGAAACACTAAACACATACATAATTATACTGTAGACCTACACAGACCTCACTTTTGCCTCCCGTTTTACTAGAAAAAACTTTACAACCACTTCACTAGAAACTCCCAGCTCACTTCTAAATATTTTGAACTATCCCTCACCCTTGCATCCTGCCCTGGGACATCGGAAACATGAGTGAACTTTGCTATTTAATAATTAGCTTCTTACAATTAGCCGAGGACAGACTGTTGTGTCGTATGTGGAAATGCTGATCTGCCTCGGGCTCCTCCGGTTCAGGGGGAAAGGAAGACCCCACGCCCGAGTCCGCGGAGCTGGTGATGGGGGACAGTACGGGCGCAGGGGGGCTCTGCATGGGCGGAATGGGGGAGTCTGGAGAAGTGACCCCGTTGACCTGGGGTGAAGCCGGAGGTTGGGGCATCTCTGGTTCTTCCTCGATAGCTTCCTGTTCTTGTTTTCGTTTGCGCTCTTCGGCTACACGTCTTAGCTTCTCTCTCTGGCGTTTGATGGCGGACACGCGGTCCCGAATGGCCTTAGCGACGATTTTGAAGTCGGCCTCGTAAACGAAACCAAGCACCACCTGCGTCAAAACACAAAAATGTTTGATAGATAGATAGATGGCTTTATTGTCTGTCCCAGCAGGTGACAGAAATTTTTCTTTGACAAGGCACAACATTCATCACAAAGACATAGATCTGGTGGAGTTTGGAGAGACAATAAACTATCAGAGAATGCAACAGTTACAAGTGTCTTATACTTATTTGACTGAGGGCCTGTTTACACGAGAATGCTTATGGGTAAAAACAATAAAATATTTTATCAGACGTGCCTTTCGTTTAGACAGTGACGGTGTTTTTGGGGCTTAAAAAAGCAAAAATCTAAAACCACCCTCCAGAGTGGAAAAGTTGAATACGCTCCACTGTAGTGTTTCTGTCTACACTGCCCAAGACTCACACTCACGTTGCGTACACATCTATGTCACATACATATAGTACACAGAAACTTGTCATGCATACCCAATTGAATTCAACACACTTTTGCATCACCATATGCACACAGATTTCCTCCCAAAAACGCTTGTCTAAACGCAGAATAAAAAGTGAAGATGCGACGCCACTTTTGCATCTTCAGTTCAGATGATCATCATATAAACCTAGCCTGATTAGTAAAATTTGGTACTCATTAGTTCTATTTTGAGTAACATTATGTTGAAGTAAAGATATACTTAAACACTATTTTAACTCTTCCCACCTCATACACATTATGTGGTTTAAAAGATTTATTTTTTTTAAAAAGTAACAAGAGTTGCCATTGTGTAACAGTTCATGCTTTATATATCAAATCTATTAATGTACAAATCCAATTATTTATTTTATGTGATATTAAAACTATTATTGTGAGGGCATTTCTCGGACTATTTCATAAGACAATGCTGATTGTAGTAGTAAACGATAGTTGTTTTTGATCATTATTGGCCATGCTATTGTATGTTTCTCTAAAATTTTACTGATAAGTAAATTACAGCATTAATACAATTACTTAATAATTAGTCTTTCATTCATCAAATTACATGCACTTGCATAACTGAAGTAAAAATACTTTTTAATTGGCTATTTTCCTCACTTTCCCCGGTTGCAGTCAGTTTTATGTACAGTATGTGAACTGACTGAAGTGACATAAATCCACTTTGAGCTCAGTATTGTTCACACCGCTTTTGTTCTGTTTTGTCCTTAACATTTATTTGTTTGTGTCTCCTCCGTTCAACTGACACTTCAAAGTAAAAATAACGTCAGACATGTCCTGTTTTTATCCGTAAATACTCAAGGTATTTGTTTCATAAGTAAAGGTTGTCATAGCTTCAGAGCATTGCGGTCCCTTTAACCTGTAATTATTAAACCTGATTTACTTGTACTATAAAGAAAAACAAATGTGTTTTTTAAAAATGTCAACATGGGACAACTTTAGGAATTTCAGAGAGGTCCAATGTACAGCGTGTACCTCCCTGTAGTTTGAGAAGCATCTTTTCCTTTCAGATTTTATCTTTTGTGGGTGTAAAGTAAAATAAATCATCTGCTCTTGATCTTGCAGAGATCTGATATCAGATGCCCTCCCTGACACGAGATCTCTATAAACAGGTTTGAGTTCAGCACAAGCAGTACACACTGAACACGTAATCTAAATGATATTTTGACACTTCTTCCAGTCCCAAACATAAATAGTGGAGAGGACTGTACAGTATTGCGAAGTCATCTGAATAAAATCCAATGGATGAACATGTGATCTTTTATGACTACATTTCAGAAACAGGAAAAGAAAAACATTTGAAAGTATTCTACATTAAGGTTAAGGTTCTACATTACTCAAAATTGTTTCTTGTGAATTTTAAGTCATATTATAATGTTGTTACCTCATCATAAAAAAAATTTTGTGTTTTGTTTCATTCACACATGTTTGAGGAACCATTTATTATTAGTTTACATACATCTCCAAAGCTCAAAATGCTCTCTTCAACCTTGTGACATCATGGAGTGGTAGTTTTCAAGTCAACAGCTTTTGTTCAGCAGAGACTGGCAATTCCAGGACTGAAATTATCCAGATGATTCTAATGAAAGTTTGAGGCAATGTTTATATGATGACGGTCTGAATAGAAGCCCCAAAAGTGGCGTCGCGTCTTCACTTTTTATTCATTGTTTAGACGAGCGTTTTTGGGAGGAAATCTGCGTGCATACGGTGATGTAAAAGTGTGTGGAATTCGCAGGTCTGACCAGAGTTTTGCATCTTGAGCAGTGTAGACGGAAACTCTACAGCAGGGTGTATTCAACTTTTCCACTCTGGAGGGTGGTTTCAGATTTTTGTTTTTAAGCCCCAAAAACGCCATCACCGTCTAAACGAAAGGCACTTCCGATAAAATATTTTGTTGTTTTTACCCGCAAGCGTTCTCATGTAAACAAACCCTGAAACACAGTGGAGCACTTCCTGTATTGCCACATAACATTACAACGTGGAACAGACTGAGAGAAGAACCCAGCCTAAATATTCAGGGTTTGTGTGTTAAACATGTGTGAATTAAATAAACAAGAACTCCAGGTATGTTTCTAATAAGGAAATCAGAAAATAGTGTAATATGGGCCCTTTCATTAGGTTATGTTCGTTTAAGAAAGCCAATTAAAATAGGTGCAGACTACTTAACACATTGTGGAAAGTTGTAAGGCATTAACGGACACACAAGTTGTATGTTCTGCCAAACTATTGTTCCACGGTCTTTAGTGAAGGAGTCAGCCCCAGATCTCTTTCAACACCTGGTCAGATTACAGCACGAGGTCTGAACTGGATGTCCCCCGCGCCGATACTAAATTTGATCTTGATGAAAACCACCACAAAAGCGTAAAAGCGGTAGGGACAGTGTCTTGGGTTTTAATTAAAAGTGACCTTTCCAGAGTGACCCGTGGAGGGCATAAAGGCTTACTTCACAACATGCATGAGGGCCATTATATTATTAAAGGCCTGGGCTACTCCCTGGTGTTCAGTTTCATACCCCTCAGTGATTAAAGATTATGGTGCCCTTGACGTAGTTTGTAAAATGTGGGCTTCGAAATGCATGGTCACGTGCAGACAGTTGTCAGTGTAAAGTTTTAGGTCAAAGAATTAAGTGGATTATAATAATCATTGACTAGAAATGAACATGATTAAATAATGGATCATCAAATATAGGTCTGTTGGTTAATTCAAACATCCATGCCTTATCTTGCATGTGGGATTACTAATAACTATAGCCAGTTAACATTACAAGGCAGTGTACAATTTGGATAATAAAACACATAAAATCGAAGATAATGTGTATGTATGGAAAAAGAAACTAAGCTGCTGTGCGTAATAATGAAGATTTCTGTTTGCAGTTGATTAATAATTGTGCCTGAACTGAAATGTACTGTTATGAAGTGTTTAAAAGTAAAAATGTTAAAATGTTGATGTATTGTGTGGAAAACATCAACACTTTATATAATATGACTCTTTTTTCTGCACCTTTTCTTTCATTTCTTGTATGTTTGATGTTGTGATACTGTTAATGTCTTTGTATACTATGTAAATGAAATAAGTAAACAAATTAAAATTAATTAATTATAATCCTAAGATATGAAAAATTGTGAGGGTGGTGTAAGGGAGTAACCAGGCTGGTGCCACCTAGTGCCTCCGCTCAATTTCATTTCTCTCCAGCGACTAGATCAGGAATCAGAATACACTAGACTCTTCGCAAAAACCACAGAAGTGCAAGTTCGGGCACCAGCCAATCAGCGACGAGCTATATATTCTGTGTTGGCAACAATTCCCGAGATCGCGGATTTAAAGCTGGAACAAAGAGAATGTTTTGTGAATTTTACACTTTACAATAATGTCTTTCCCCTTGGAAAGACATTATTGTCCTTTCTTCCTACGGGATTTGTGAAAAACTTAATATACCAGTTAGCCCCATTAGTGGCACATTACATACGTCACGACCAAATAGCAGTGATTGGTTAAATTTAAAAAAGTACCTGCCTACTATCGAGTGAACGAATCCTAATGCTGCGAGGTCAGACGGTTTCTACAAAGTGAAACCAGCTGATGAATCTGGCTAGTAAGGGAGGGCATCAGGTGTAAAATCCTATCATAATAATTAGCGTGTTTCTTAAATAGACTAATGGATTAGTTGGGGCTTAGTATCTTCTCCTACTTGTCTTATTTATCTTACATAGTTTTGATAATTATGTATTCTATTGTTGTTCTTGTACTTTTCTGTTGCAACACAAAATTTCCCCATTCTACAAATAAATGTTCTCGTATTTGATCACATAGACTTCACATAATCCAGTTTCAATCTTCAATTTATAAACAAAAACTACAGTCTATAAAATATGTGGAAACCTATAATTGGTTTCAAAAGTCTAATTAAGACGTGTGTTAGTCTTATATTGCAAAAGCTATACTCTAATGTGTCTTTAAGGATAAAGGGGCATAAAAAGGGTCACAGCGACTCTTACTTAGTCAATATTATTGTCGTCTCTTGGGAACATGTTAAACCCAATCACCATAAATCAAGTCTGGAACACCATGGATCTTAACTCCGCTCTATCTGTTAATCTGTGGCCCATTACCTTATTTCCTCACTAATGGAGATTGCAAACCAGGTCAGAGAAGATAGTGGTAGGAAGTGACTTTACTTTACTTTGATATATTGAATTAATTAACTATTTATATATAAACTTCTGCTTTTAAGAGAACTCTTTTATAATTATTTCTTTACTAAAAATGTATATGTTAATAAAGTGAAAAAACTCTACACTATTTAACATGTTTTAATACTGAACACTAATTATTACCAGCGTCTGTTTCATTTTACAGTAGAGGGCCCGAGCTGGTTGTATGTGGTTTTCGGGGCTTCCTGGTATAAAAAAAAAAAAAAAAATCTAAAACTACTGGGTAAAATGTAAAAATAAATATGCAGATGTCATTTCAAACCAGGTGGTGGTAGGAAGTGACTTTTCTTTACATTGATATACTGGCTAAATGAACATTTATATATACAATTCTGCTTTTAAGAGTACTTTTTTTCATTATTATTTATATTTATATATAATATCATAGTATGTTAATAAGGTGAAACAGCTGTACACAATTTAGCATGTTTTACCACTTAAAATTATTACCAGCATCTGTTTTATTTTACAGTGGGGGTCATGGGTTGGTTTTGTGTGTGGTTTTGGGGGTTTCTAAAAAGGTTTGGAAATTATTGAGTAAATTGTAAAAAGAAAAAAAAAAAGAAATATGTATATACCACTGCAAACTTTGATAGGTTGACTTAATTGATTTTACTTTTTATATATAAAAGTGCTTTTTGTTATAATTATTTCTTTACTGAGAAAATGACACAAAACAAAACAATATTCACTGTTAATAAGGTGAAACAACACTACATAATTTAACATATTTTACCGGTTAAAATTATTACCAGCATCTGTTTCATTTCATAGTGCGGGCTCTGGGATGGTTGTGTGTGACTTTTAAGAACTTCACGGCTTAAAAAAAGTATTTACTATTGAGTAAAATGAAAAAAATATATGTAGATGTCGTCATAAACAAATAAATGTGTAAATATGTGTGGATATATTTTCGACTTTCAATGCTATTCGTTGACTTCCTGTAAAGCAGATGCTACACTGTAATGTCACTTAATAAAGCTCGTCTATCTATCCACATCCCCAACCTACCCAACCTAAGTAGATTTTAATATAAGCATTATCTCACCATCTCCTGGGCCACCTCCTCAGGGACATCCTTGTACAGCTCAAACAGGAACTCGATGGCGTTGTTGTCCTTGTATTTTCCGTGGAGTTTTTTGGTATCATCCATTCTCAGCCACAGTTTGAGCTCCGGCTTCACCGTGTCGTCCTCTTCAGCCAGTTCAACATGGACGCCATTGTTCTCCTGGAAGAACGGGTGATCCAGCAGGTCCTGAATAGTGTACCTGAAAAATATGAAATAAATGATAGAAATTATATGATGTTTATTGTTATACCATGGAAATATGTGGTTGTTGATATAGATGACTTACTGAAAATCTTAAAATACTAATGTTTCTCTTGAGCTACAATAGTTCAAGAGTGTGAGTAGTAGTAGTAGTAGTCAAATAGTCAGGCCCGTCCACAGAAATTTGGGGGCCCAGGGGCAAGAAACCTGACATGGGGCACCCCTATAATATAAATTAATAAGACGGAGCAATTCTGTAACCAGGTTGGCGCCACCTAGTGCCTCCACTCAATTTCATTAGTAGTAGTAGTAGTAGTAATAGTAGTAGTTGTAGTAGTAATAGAAGTAGTAGTAATAGTAGTAGTAGTAGTAGTAGTAGTAGTAGTAGTAGTAGTAGTAGTAGTAGTAGTAGTAGTAGTAGTAGTAGTAGTAGTAATAGTAGTAGTAGTAGTAGTAGTAGTAGTAGTAGTAGTAGTAGTAGTAGTAGTAGTTGTAGTAGTAACAGCAACAGTAGCAAGCAAAGCAAGTAATACATTGTCAGTTCAGATGTTTGTGTTCACTGTGGGCAGTTTTGTTATTTTTCTAAATCCCCTGTTGTTTTGTACAGCACTTAAAACATTCCAACAGACAATGGAATTAAACCATAAATAAATTAAACAAGAAAGCATAATTTATTTCAAAAAGTGTAATGTTGTAGCAATATACCTTTCATCTTTGTTCATCCGAATACAGCCTTCAATGATTTCTTTGAGTTCTGGGACTTTCACTTTGTAGAAACTGTCAGGCTTAATCCCCTGTAAAGGAAAAGAGAGAGAGAGAAAGAAAGAAAAGCAATTTAAAAAACCACAAATACTATAAATTGGCAGGACACAAGAAGCAATAGACTGCACCTGCCTTAAGAGTTATATTATAATTGTGTGAAAGGATGAGTAAATAGCACACTGTTTTTTGTTTTGTTTGTTTGTGAATAGTAATTGATTTAGTTAATAAATGTATCCCAAAATTATCTTTGTTTATCCAAATCTTCCAAGTTTGAAGAGGTGACCTAAGCAGCCCCTCAGTCCCAATATTAGTCAATCCTGTGCCTGCATAACAACATTACCTGCATGTCAACACAGCTCTGGACAGTGGAAAAAAACTAAAAACTCCATCCATTGCCAGTGGATTACTGACGAAAAACAGTTAAAATACAGAAATGCTCCTTTGGGACACATTTTTGAGTAGAAGAGTTGGATTTTCCTAAATGTTATCAAAAACTCACAGAGATAACAGCAGTGCCCCATCCCTGTAATAACACTGATAAGAGAAAATGGCTTTCAGTGTGGATTCCCAAGCAACCAGCTAATGTTTTAAACCATGTTGAGCTTTGAATGCCAGAATGATTCATATATTAATACTTAAAAACCAAGCAAATATAAAAAACAAACATAATATATAAGAGCTGTGTAACCTGTTTAGCTATTAGAACTATTACTATTAGTGGTAAGTAATTAAGTAAGTAAGTAGTAGGATGGGGAAATGAATATACTAAATAAAAGACTATGGGACTGTAGGAAAAGCACATTTTCTCTAAACTGTAAACATGTAAAATACAGTAAAATCGTATATATTTGTTTTCCATAGGATTATAGACTCTATATTAGATGCCCTCCCAAAGTGTTAAAGAGCCCATATTACACTATTTTCTGATCTATGTTATAATGTTGTTTCCTCATCACAAACAGACCTGGAGTTGTGTTTTGTTTCATTCACACATGTTTAACTCACAAATGCTGCATAATTTAAGCTGAGATCTTCTCTCAAACAGAAAATACTCTGTTCCAACTTGTGACAATACAGGAGGTGCTCCACTGTGTTTTTAAACTCCATATACCTTCGCTAGAATCATTTGGATGATTTGAGTTCTGGAACGCTTAATCTCTTCTGAACAAAAGGTAAAAAGTTTCTGTTAACTTGAAAAAATACAGTTTCGTGACATTACAAGTTAGAACAGAGCATATTGAGCTTTGGAGATATAGACAGACAAATAATGAGGGATTACTCTAACGTGTGTGAAAAAAATAAACAGACAAAAAAAACTTGAGGTCTGTTTTTGATGAGGTAACAGCATTATAACATGGCTTAAAGCTCAAAATTCAATATTGTGTAATATAGGACCATTAACATTTATCCAGGCTTAGATATGCCCGCATCTTACAATGATTGGATTACTGAAAAAATTTCATATAAATTCAAATGAAATTAGATTTTGGTTGAGTTACATACCATTATTGAATTAAAATGTAACTTTTTACTGGAAAAGGTGGTTTTAAATCCTCATCCAGTACCAATTACAATACTCTCTTTTGACTATGGAACAAGTGGGTCACGTCTATAGACCTCTTTCAAAAACAAGTAGCAGAAAAACAAACTTTATGTGGATTTTTAAGAGGGGTGCCATGTTGGAGACTTGTCATTTGGAGGTGCTGGGCAATGCCAAGCAAAGCCGTGATGACGCCACAGTGGGAGGCAGAGTGGGCCAGTGTAGGATTTTGATGTTTTGGAAAATATGTCTCAACTTTAAATCCACAAAGAGTCCTGTTACTCGAACGTGTGGTGAAACCGCGGCACAAACAGGAGCTGACAGAGGCAACTGGAAAAGTGTGACAATGCCAATACAGATGAGGGGGTCTGGACACTGCACAAATAGGTGGAGGTAGAAAGAAATAATACCGTTTGGAAATAACCACATTTGGCATTTATTTTTAAGAATGTCACTTGTAATTTCTAAAACATACTTATATTACATTGAAAAAGAACTGATATTGAGGTGCTATATGTAAGCGTATATCTGCTTGTTTCCATGGAGATGTTATTGCTTTGCCATGCATGTTCCACAGTATGCAATTAAACTTATCTATAAGGAGACAAGCAGGTGAAGTGACACCACCAGGCCAAGTTACAGGACAAATCTGTGGACAGCTAAGTATGATCGCATGTCTTCAAGATTTTTTACATTCAAAGCACCTGAATGCATGTTAGATAGATGGATTTAATATTATACTGTGGAATATTCCCGGCAAACGAATAACTTCTCCATAGAGACAAGCAGGTGGCTGACCCCCACTTCAGAAAACTTACACAGTGCATCTTTAACATCTGGGTAACAATACTTCGAGGACCGAGGTGGGGGTATTTTTGAGAGACAATATTTTCACCGACGGCGTATAGGAGGAGACGTATGTGAGAAGACGCGACGTACGAGAGGAGATGCAGTCCAAGTCCTGGTTAAATCTTGTTTTAGACCTAGTTTAGACCTGTTTTTAGTTTTTGGTTTACTTCTGGTTTAGTCCCGGTTTTAGTTCTGGTTTAAAGGTGGAGGAAACATAACGCAGGAAACACAGCACACGGGAGGGGCACGGTCCAAGTCCTGGTTAAATCCTGTTTCAGTCCTGGTTTTAAACCTGGTTTAGACCTGGTTTTAGTCCTGATTTTAGTTTTGGTTTAGTCTTGGTTTTAGTTCTGGTTTAAAGGTGCAGGAAACACGGTGCACAGGATGACGCACGGTCTGGCGGCGTATGGAAGGGGGGGTTTGTGCTTTTGTGGCCCAGTACCAAACGGGGGTTGGGGACCCCTGAACTAAAGTATAAGTAGTAGAATTATGTGATATTAACAAGAGCAGGAATAGAATATGAAGTACTGTAAAAAGTAACTGTGTGAGTATTACACCAAAGCTTTACACAAAATAAAATAACTTATTGTTGCTTGAGTGTGATTGTAATTATTAAGTATTGATGCGTGTGAACATATCTCGAGTACTTTTTCCACTTCACTAAACAGAATCAAGACCCAATCTCCACTGTAAAGATGCTTACAGATGCAACAACATTTAATGGAAATCATATTGAGGTTTTGGCTTTCATTTTTATGGTGTCAGTTGGGCATCTGTTTACAATGTTTAATAAGATCATAAATGCTAGCCCATAAACTTCACAATATCTGATTTATGTTTGGTTTAAGGATCACAGCTAAACACAACAGATTTTAACAAGCTTTTGGAAACATTTTGGTTGGACATAATTAAATTCATATCTGAGTTACACTTTGTGTAAAAAGCTAACGGACAAAGAGAAGCCAACATGTCCATTTTAAATGACAAAGAAATCACGCTGACATTTTATCTGGGCAAACGTTATCACAGGAAACTAAGAGAAAACTGGGTTTGGGCAGATTTATTGTGAAGGCAGCCCCAGTGACTGTCCTGCTGTAAATTACACAGACACAATAGGGAACTGTTTTATTGTGGAAAGTGGCTGTAACATAAATTAAATTATGTGTTATGGTCTAAGCTTCACTCGTAGTTACACAGGTTTGTTTTCTGTTGTATTAAAGTAATATTTTTGGTATTTGCTTCTATTAAAACATACTGGGTTATAGGTACCATGCCCACTCTCCTAATACATACTGCAGTGTTAAAATATGGTATGTTTTATGTTATATTTTCACATTCCAGCTCAAAGGTTGATGGTTTGAATCCTGCTCTGACCAGTCCAGACATGTTGTCATTGTGCCTAAGGGCAAGACACTTTCCCCACCTTGACTACGTATTTGGTGTTGTGTGTGGGCCTGTCACGATAAATACGATATCAACTTATTTTTCAATATAAGATGGAACAATATATTTTGGGGCTTAGTATTTATTGTGGGTACCATTTCTTTGCAAAGTGACATTTTTATGTAATAATGTAAGGTTTGGGTAGACTAAATAACTTCTATGGCTAATTACTGGTTCATTCGGCAATATATTTAAATATAGGTTTCCTGGGATTATCCTGCTGTGTGTCAGCTGCATTATCACAATATTTCCGTGTTACAATATACATTGTTATTCAAAATTTGTTAGCGTGCTAGATTGGCAGCCTCTCTTTTGTGAGTCTACCCCAGGGCAGCAGTGGCGACAATAAAAGCTTACCACTTCTGAGTTACAGAAACTTTGAATTAGAGATCGACTGATATGCATATTTTAATTCCCGATTGTTTAGAATCCAGCGGAACAGCTGATGACCTCTGCCATATTTGAGACAATTTAGGTATTTTTTCTCAAATTATCAAATTTAAATTTTGTAGAAACTCATCTACAACTTTCTTTTACTACAAATTGTATAGACCCCAGTGTAGTCACTCTTATACAAATAAAGCTTTATGCATTAGAGATTATTATACTCAACGATATCACGCTAAGTAACTCTTTCTTTGTATGTTATGTAATGTTGCATGGTATATCGAAGTCGCTACACTTAAGAAGTCAGGTGAATTTCTATGGAAACCCAAGAAGGGAAAACAGGTTTTTAATCCTGAATTTATTTAATTTGAAGAGCTATGCAAAAGCTTTTAGTTGTTAATGCATACGTCAGTTAAATCTAATCCAGTCAATTTAATCTTTGGAGTTGGTTAAAACTACAATGGAAAACTGACTCTGCGTCATGATTGGCTCACTTTCAACAGGGATATTCACTCTGAGCCTGTAATGGGCACATTTAATCCTTTATTAGACACAACTGAGCCTCTTTCCAAATGGACTCTGGTGTTTTGCAAGTTTGAGGAAATCCTTGAGAGTACATTGTATCCGCCCTCTTCCTATCTCCAGCCATATGTTAACCATTATGCTAAACGCTGCTTAAAATGGGGAGTTATTTTGCACTTACACTGGTGACTTTGCGGTAGATCTGAGCGGCGTTTTGGCACTCGGAGTATGGGTACTCGGAGGTGGCCATTTCCAGGATGCACATTCCCAAAGCGTAAACATCCACAGCTTCATCGTACTTCTCCTCGTACATCTCTGGGGCCATAAATTCAGGAGTTCCTGTAGAAATGATAAATAAAAAATTTAGTAAGGTCAAATCAATTATGAAATTTTATGTATCGTTACATTGATTTATATGCATTTAGGGCACAGAGAAGAGAAGAAATCATTAAGTACAGAATACATTTACTTTTTTGTGTAAAGGAGGATATATGTTTAATCGATGCAACCTTGACACATATTACCTTGAGGAGAATTACTGATAATGATTTTGGTGATATTATAAAGTTATTAATCATGGTCAGACATCTAAATTATTGTATGATCTTAACATAAAAATACTGTATTGATTGAGGAATGCTTTACTGAAAATATACACAATTTCCACCATGTTAAATTTTAAATCATGAGGAAATCACTAGAAAATTCAGTGGATCTGCTAAAGAACTATTTTTATTACTTACTAAAAATGATTTTAATACTTAGTTCCAGAAATGTCCAGGTAATACTAAACTGCGCTCTCACCAATGACACTTTTAGCGAATGAGGCACTTTTGAGCGTGGCGAGCCCCAAGTCCCCGATCTTGACGGAGCCGGTTGGTCCAGTGATGAAGATGTTGTCACACTTGAGGTCGCGGTGGATGATGGGAGGGCTCCGCGTGTGCAGGAAGTGAAGCCCTTTGAGGATCTGTCTGCTCCAGCGCTGAAGCAGCTTCAGCTTCATCTCTTTGAACCTCTTCAGGTACCTGAAACAAGAGAAAAAATAAACAGCTTTAATATAAACACAAGAAGAAAAGCACAATGTTTCATTTTGACATCAAGAGAACATTTATGCAATTTCAAATGCAAGGAATCTATCAACAAGGGACAACGTCAACTGATGTTTAACCTAACATAAATATCTATAGATTCTCTATCAGTAAAATATTTGTATATTAACTCAAGAGACTAAACAATAATTTAAACAATTGAAAAATTTTGAATATTTTTGTGTTATAAAAATGTACATTGTCAAAGTAAGTGTCAGCTAGATGTGAATGAATTAATACTGAATGAATTAAATTGATAAATTACACTTTAGTGCCACATTTTGTTATAAATTATATAAATTCATATTTAAAAATAATAATTAATAATTCATATTTTTAAAAGTATTGAATGTAAAGTGAGACCCACTTTAGCCCTGATTTTTAAAGAAAATCATATGAAAAGTTGACTTGTATACTACCAGTTGACTTGTACTCTAACATTTGTGTGTTAATAGTTTGACTGACGTTTTGAGGGTTCCTGATGTCATGAGTTCGGTCACCAGGATGATGCACTTGTGGCCCTTCACAGTGGACTTCCACGAGTCGTGAAAGCGCACGATGTTGGGATGCTGCAGCCCTTTAAGCATCTCCACCTCCTCACTGAACCTCTGACGCTCAGCTTTGGTCAGTTTACGGGTCTGAAATACAGAAGAAAATGGAGGATGATGTAACAGTATGAGCAATGACAGGCGAATAACATTCATTATCTCTTCATCACGGACCCTGTTAAAGGTTGGGAAAAGAACAGAGAGAACAATTTGTCCAATATGTGGAAGTTAAAAGTTAAAAAAGACATGTTGAAACAGGCTAAGAAGTAATACCAACTTTCACTGAAAACAGGGTCAGAGCATCTCCAAGTAACATGGTGTGCTACATTATATACAACTTATTTATAATTTTCCTTTTTAGTAAACTTTAATGTTGTACCTTTTATGAATTATAAAAGTTAAAGAGTTTGTTCCATGCAAAATTATTATCATGCAAGATCTTCAGTACTTCTGCACATATGTAACCCATGTGTAACCTATATTAAGCAGATTGCAAATACAGACAAAAAAAAAAAAAAACACATTCTCTTCAGGAACGAGAAATGCAAATCAGGATTGGTGTAAAACATAAGGAAATGTTTTTAGAGGGACTGACAATTTTGACACTGCATAAATGGTCCTATAGATAGCTGTGATTACATAAGATGATAGGCATATTTGATAAATGACTGTTTCTTTACTTAATAACACAGACGAGGCAGATGGAAACCACATGCTGGGGGACCCTCTGCTTAGCCTTACATAACCACAATTTTCCAACATAGGGATCTTGACTATACCTCTCAAAAGACATTTCCGATATTCACATAAAATTGGATCCAACAAGTCATTTTTGTGTTTCCTCTCGTATGAATGGCCCAATTTACTTTAAGTCTGCTTTCGGGGGTGGTTAGCGGAAAACTCCTTTGAGACCTCCGTGACCATGAATCAAGCATTGAGGTGGAATTCTGGGAAAAATGGTTTGTATATGTTTACATGCACAATCAACCTTACCACTACACTTTCCTCCGATGAACCTCTTTCCAAATAACAGAGAAGCTACTACTACTACAACGTATATAAGTATATAGTCCTTAATAAGAAAACTGTTAAGAATTGGTCAAAAATATAAGTAAAGATTGCTGAGTTTTCTGGAGTATATAGCCATACACTATGCTAAACACTAGGGGTGTAACGATATCCAAGTTTCACGATATTTATTCAATATCGTGGGAAAAGCTCACGATATTGTGGGGAGCCTCACGATTAGGAATATAACAATATCCAAATCTCTCTGAACAATATTTTCATGATATACATCTCACGATACAATATTTATTGCGATATTTTGTGGAGGCAAACAAAACTGTTCCTCTTAAAATGTCTTGACAAGACTTAATCCAAACACACTGAAATGGTACAATGGACAATTTTTTAATTATTTTTTTTAATGGGACAAGGGGGAAAAAATGGAAGAAAAAAAGAGAGAAAAGGAATTTCAGTTATGAATTGGCTGCAATGTGTCAATGTAAGGTGGCCTAGCGGTATGTTTATGTTGCACTACCTTATTACTTTTGTTTAATTTAGCCAAATTTGTGTTAGTGTGTGTGGTTGGGGGGAAATGGGGGATTTTTGTTGTTGTTGTTGTTTGTATTTGTATTTGTTGTTTTGTATTTGTTGTAGTTGTTGTGGGTGTTGCTTTATGTTTTTGTCTTCTGTTTTATGCTGATTATTGTAATTGTTAACTGTTGAGTGTTGTATTTTTTTAATGTTATATTCTGTTGTCCTTAATTTAAAACACAAACAAACAAACAAACAAAAAACCACACTGAAATGGAGCAAAGGATCATGGTCTATGTAGTTCTCTCTGTCTTTTTTTTTTTTTTTTTTTTTTTTTAGCTATTGCTGCACCATAACTCTACTAATTGATACTCACATTCACCTGAATATCAGAACAAGTATATGACCACAAAGACTAGTATATGCCCATGGACTATTAAGGATAGAGTGTTCCACAGTATACCTATCACAAGGGAGACAAGCAGGCAACAGCACTACGATGCATTACAATACAGATCTGTGGACAGTCGCCCCTTTTCACTGATGGAACTATTATGTTTTTGAGAAATAGAAACATCCATAATAATTAGATGGATGTTTAAAGGTTGTATAGGGGACTTTTTTAAGGGAAGAGAAATACAGTGACAGTCCTTTTTCAAATGATGTGCATGTGTGACACCACCTTCCTCTTCCACAGCTCCCTCAGCAGCAACACCTCCTCCCGCCTCCTGACTCTAGAAATCACGCTTGTTTACAGCCAGTGCGCATTCAGCATTACTGTTGGAGTGACCTGTCTAGAAATAATTTAGCGACTGATGCGCCAGTTTTTAGACCCCTTGTCTGCTTCATTCGTGCAATCGCTGGAAGAGATCTCCAAGAATCACCTCAGTTTGGCTTTGCTCCTTTTCCCCTTCTCTTCTTCTTTCAGCGACCTCAAAAACAGACTTTCTTTTGCAGTGAACTGGTCGTGGATTCTCGTCCGCCATCGCAACAAACTTTGTGCGAATTGCGAGGAAGCTACACTTTGAAAAAGCCTCTAAGAACCGCTGCATAAAGCACATAATCCCCGTACGCTGGTGAGTTACACTAGAAACATAGGGAGTTTGATTGACAACCTAACAGCCAATAGAAAATGAGTGAGCCTCGTTATCTATTGGCTGATGTTTTTCTGGCCTCACTACATCCACAGTTGATAGATTTTCTTTTTTTTTTTTTTGGTCATCATAATTACAAGGCTGCTGCGTCTCTGTAATGGTATTTTAAACTTTCTTTGACAATTTGAAACAAAAAAAAAAATCCTCCATACAACTTTTAATGTCTTACCATGGAACAATCCAGGCAAAGCAATAACAATAACCCTCTGGAGACAAGTGGATAGCGAAACCCTCCACCAGAAGTAGCGCAGTGCACTTTTAAGTAAACATTTTAGATAATACTGTATGTGTTCCCATTATTTTACTGTCTATTTCTATTGGTTTAAAACAATAATATCAGATTATTATTATTATCAAGAGAATCAAGATCAAGACATTTACTCAATCCTGACCAGCCCTAGCCTTAAGTTTTGTCTAAAGTCAAGTGAGGCCCCTTTCACCTATATCCATCATGTGTCACAAGCTGTCAAGTTTCATCATGAGGGCGCATGTTTAAAGACACAGAGGTCAGCGTTGAGGTCAGCTGTGATGGGGTTGTGAAGGCAGAACAAGCAGCCACTTACACATAACACACAACCTCATTGTCAAAGCTAAGGGTCAGCACGCCTTTGACGATCTGTTTACATGTTAACGTCGTCACTAACAATGTTTTGAGTAAATGTTTTTAGCCCGTTAGCATATTAGCGCACAAAATAGAGACACACCATCTTCTGAACACTGATCTTCTGAAGTCAGGATTTAAATTAAGATGATTGACACATTACGGTAGATAATAAATGTAATAGATGTTGGACAAATTTGACAAAGTAGCTTATATCATTAATCAGAAATTTGTAGGTTGGTTTATAATAGGATCAGATAGCTAACATTTGAGTTTCCTCGTCACATGTTTAAAGGTGCACTGTGTAACTTTTCTGGAGGAAGGTCTGCCATCGGCTTGTCTCCGTGGAGATGTAGTTGCTTTGTCGAGAATATCCCAGAGTGGCATTAAACGTATCCATCTTGTATTTGCTCAATAACATGGGGTTATATTGTCTTACAAACTTGCACTCGCATGGGCTCGCCTCTCTACAGATCTGACATTTAACTTGGCTTGATGGCGTCACCTGCTTTCTCTGTAGAGATAAATAAGTGCAATGCCATACTGTGGAACATTTCAGATAACATTTCCACGGAGAAAGCAGATGACGAACCCTCCACCGGAAAAGTTACACAGTGCACCTTTAAGTCTTTTTTTAACAGAACCAAAACACAAGACTCAGATTCTGTACAGTAAATTATAGTACTATTATACTAATAAGTAGGGATGTAACGATATCCAAATCTCATGGTACGATATTTTCATGATAGACATCTCACTGTACTATATTTTCACGATATGCATCTCACAGTACAATATTTATTGCGATATTTTGCAGAGGCTGATATAATTGTAGATAGGACACTTTTTTGCTTTTAAAATGCCTTGACAAGATTTCGGTGTGAATTATGTCCATCATAATCCCAAGAATTCAAGTAAAAAACATATTTCTTCATGTTGTCTGCACTGAAATGAATCATGGGATATGTAGTTTCCAATGCTTATAAGCTGTTGCTACTATAAAACCATGTATTTAAGCAAAGAAACTTATAATCTGATATATTGTGACAGCCCACGATATTATTGTGAACTTTTGACGATATGATATCACGATATTTCGGTTATTGTGACATTCCTACTAATAAGACTGCATTGCTTACATATATATTTTTTCAGTACTGGCTCTTTGCTATGTTGTTAAGTTTAGAATTAGTACAGTGTTTGAGAGTGAAGACAAGTTTCTCTGCTCATCAGTTGACACAACTGAATATTTGTTTTGCTATGGATCCTACCTGGAATTACACAGACATTAGTTGGAACAGTTTTTTTAGGCAAGCCAATAGTTGCTCACTGCTAAAAATATCTACAACCTTTATATTTATCTCTAACCAACTAACAACTGCCCTCGAGTTTGCCATTGGACACTGAAGACCACGGTCAATTAGCTGTGTTATGAAATCCAAAGACACCTTCCTCATGTGAATGCCTAAATACATTGGTCTAATTTGCACCTTTACACGTTAGGATGTTAGCGATGCCACTTTAGCTTTATGGACTTCAAACATGGCGTGACACAGGAATGAGTTTTAGGGCTTTTAAGATCTGTGTGTTCTTGGAAAAAAAGGAAACAGCAGAAGATTTACATTAGGATCTCTTGTGTTGTTGCAGTTCATGTGTAAGGTTAATGGATGGTTCATTCAGGTTGATCTATGGGGCCTATATACTGACAGGTTTATGTAAGACGTTTACTGGTTTCAGCTGGCTGTCGTAGCCTATATGTGAAATTTTAAGGCCTTTTCATCATTGAAAATATACAA